TCAGTTCAGCGGGTAATAGGAATTTGAATGATTTTTATTCATGATCTGCTATCCATGGCGTGTACATGACATATAAATTAATCAGTGTGAGTGCTGATTGGACTTTTATTTAGTATCATTTTCATTTATCGATCTACACAGTAATAACAAGTGGTCGATTTGATACGAATAATGTATAAAATAGGGCAAACTAACCATGTTTTTTTACTAATGCCGAAACCTTTCATTAAAATTAGCAATATGATATTTTTGAAGTTAACTAAACAAAATTTGCTCCTTTGAACGACCAAATTAAATAAAGAAGGGTTTCGGTTAGGCTTAACACTGCACTGAATTGTTTATTGTTAGTTAGATAGGGCGCTAGGTTTTATTCTCTATTCTGGAGATTAAGCTTCGAAGTCTCCTAAATTAAATCGGTCACAAGGAGCACATATTTGGATGAGACTTGAGCTTTTCCCCTTTGCATATTAGGCCCTAGTACAGGGTCTCACAAATTGTGAGACGAAGCAGACGAAAGACTTCGAAAGGTACAGTAGATCCTCTCGGGTGCAATAAATGGCAATAACTTTCAAATTTCTCTGAAAATTGTTTGAAAAAGTTCAAATCATTTGTTCGAATAATTCCGATGTTTGCATTTATTTGAAAACCATTGGCCACTATTGCGCTTAAAGAGCCAAAGTCTTGGTTTAATATTGAACCGGATTTCTGTACGTTAAGCCCAGTAGCACTAAGCTTCTGGTAAGGTAGTTAGACTAGGGCAAAAAGTAGTTGATGACTTAAGCATAGTGACGCACTTAATTGTATTGTAAAATTTGGCCAACGAACCACTTGAAAACGACGATTTCAAAATGAAATTTAACTTATTATTACAATTATGTCAACTGTGCGCCAATGCAAAGTTGTCTGCTATTCTTCTTAGATGTTGCTTCTGGGTCTCAGGCAACTTAGGATTTTTAGGCTGGTCAGCTTTCAGTTTATATATGAAAGGTATAGTACGGCAGTCATAAACAAACTCGTAAGTTGCAATATTTGGGTTCGTGTTTATGATTGCAGGGGGAGCTGACGCCCGCGCTTCGATCTAGATAGCTTAAACCTCTGGTGCTTGCACCATTTAGCTAATATTCACTCAACGTAGCAGAGTGAAATCGCCCGCGCACGTGATCAATAGAGATTAGGTTAAAAAAGCTGACCTTGAGCAGGCTAGAATATATAGGGAACGCTTCGATCATTGTAATTTTAGATCAGGTCGGCGATAAAATAGATTTCGTCAAACTAGGGTCAAAAATTCCTTTCGCTGGGATATTGAGATGGGGTGGTTGGGATGGCCTGATAGATAGTTTTTTAGGTAGGGATAGATAGGTATAAGGGTGAAGAGTAATTATCACTCGCACTGTTGTCCCCTCTTGTGACTTCAAGCTGAGTTTGATAATTTACTTTTTCACGGTGTTAGGGACGCAGTAGTAGAATGAATGATGTAACGGTTCCCAGACATTTTGTCTGGACATTGAAACTCTTTCTCTTTCAATCTACTTATAGGCTGTATTTTTACACTTGTGCATAATTTTTATGTTCCATGGCTTATTATCTTGGCGACAAAACCATGTTCTAACACTGATGTCGTGCGGTACAATGCAAGACATCTATCATATTCGACTTGGTTTTTATCATATTCACATACACCCTACTGTCGTGCAAACAACTGTACGACACTGTTTATCTACTACATTTTTTGTTTTCTGTGTTATATTTCAGTAGTCTGTATGAACTATCATTTCGTCAACTAACACAGTTTTCATATTTTCAGATATCATCCAAAGAAGAAGAACATTAGTTTTTTTTCAACAATTTTTCCAAAGCTTAACGTAATTCGGTTGATTCAGCTTAATTAGTGAATGTCAATTGACTCGAAAATTTCCAATATTATAAAATGGCTGGTTTGAATTTAACTGCAAACACATTTGAGCAGTCAACAATATTCGGCAAGTTTTCATTGATGTGTAATAGCCACCGTTTAAATTTAAGAATACTCTTATATTATATTCCCATTCCATGACCCATGTTTCCATGTATAAAGATTTTTGATAATATATTTAGAAGCGACTGGTCCGGTTGGGGAAGTCGTTTTTTTTGCCACTGGCTTCTCTGCAACAACCTTCATCTCGAATAAACGCTGAACACCACAACTTGTCCATCGCCCAGAAGACTGGTACGCGATTTTCAGTAAAATGTGATATATGATATATTATTTTAAACCTTTTTAAAATTGAAGTTTTCACGCTAACCAGACCTAAAAAATCTGTAACTAGTACTTGGGACCTACATAGGTATAAACAACTATCGACACTCTATGAGCTTTTCACCATTTTTGCTAGCTGTGTCTAACTATTTTTTGCAAGGGCCGCGTCTCACCATTTTTGAGAGCTGTGTCTTAACTATTTTTTGCAGAGGCTGCGTCTAACCATTTCACCATTTTTTGCTAGCTGTGTCTAACTATTTTTTGCACGCTGTGTCTAACTTTTTTTGCAGGGGACGCTTCTAACCATTTCACCATTTTTTGCTAGCTGGGTCTAACTTTTTTTGCAGGGGCCGCTTCTAACCATTTCACCATTTTTGCTAGCTGTCTCTAACTATTTTTTTTGCAGGGACCCCGTCTAACCATTTTATCATTTTTTGCTGGCTGTGTCTAACTACTTTTTGCAGGGGCCGCGTCTAACCATTTTATCATTTTTTGCTGGCTGTGTCTATCTATTTTTTTCGCAGGGGCCGCGTCTAACCATTTTACCATTTTGGTCCGACCAACGAGTGAGTCACGTTGATAAATAGGGACAAATCGTTGATGAAACCACTGATTTATCTGCAATGAAACTGTGCTTGAATTGTTGATGAACGCGAACAAAATTGCTGACCTTATTCCGAGTTGACATTTGCGAGACCAAGCAAAGTATAGGCGATGTTGAACTGTTGATTTATTGCTATTATTGTTCTGCAGGCTGGGAATAACCGTTTATTTATTGCAGGTTGGGTACAACCGTTTTTACAGGCTGGTTTTAACCGTTTTTTTTACAGGTTGGGTCTAACCGGTATTTTTTACAGGCTTGGTCTAATCTAAGCGTTTTTTTTACAGGCTGGTCTAACTGTTTTTATTTTTATACAGGCCGGGTTTAACCGGTTTATTACAGGCTGTGTCTAACCATTTTTCCTGGGGCCTGGTGTAACCATTTTTGTTGACTGATGAATTTTCAAATGTTGACTAATTCTTTTTGAGTTGCGTTGACGGTATATGATGAAATCGTTGATATATACCTACAATAAAAGAATCGTTGAATTGTTTATGAACCACAGGTGGCACCGATAGTCGTCTGATAAAACGTGAATTTCTAACATTTCTCGAGTGGTCCATGCGATAACGGAGGACAAATCTTTGATGAAAACGTTGGTTTATTTGCAATGGAATTGTACTTGAATTGTTGATGAACACACAGCATCACTGCTGACCTTCTGACCTTATTCCGAGTTCACATTTTCGTGACCGAGGCAAATTATAGGCGATGAAACTGCTGATTTATTTGCTATGATTGTTCTGCAGACTGAGAATACCCGTTTATTTTTTGCAGGTTGGGTCTAACCGTGTTTTTGCACGCCCGGGTCTAACCGTTCTCACAGGCTGGATCTAACCGTTTTTTTTTACAGGTTGGATCTAAGCGTTTTTTTTTACAGGCTTGTCTAACCGTTTTTATTTTTATACAGGCCGGGTCTAACCGGTTATTTAACCCTACTCTACCGGTTGCTCTGGGGCCATTTTACATGTTTTTTTTTTTAAATATTTTTATTGTCAACCATCAAGCCCTAAATGACTTTTTAATACCGTGTGCTGAAGTTCTATTCAGCTATATATGTTTAAAACACTTGCTTCTAATAATATTTTTTCTATGCGACAAAATTTCTATTGAACAACCTTGAACTTGCGAGATTTTGTGTCTAGTAGAGGGTTAATAATTATTTCTAATTAATTAATTTTTATTTCAACGTTTTCTTGTGTTATTTTCCAACAGAACACCAAAACCACTATTATAGCAAGAATGGTAACTCTAAAGTTCATGATTGTATTTACAGAATTTTCAAGTTCAAGGCTTCAATTAACAATTTTGATGATGTCACACCTCTAATTACTTCTTCACAGGCCCGCTCAATGCAAAAAATGTTATTTTTTCGTCGGAAATGCGCGTAGAAAGACGTAAACATTCTAATGCGCGCCGTTACGTGTGAAAATTACCATTAATTTTACATTTTTTTTTCACGTTTATAATTTCTCTATACCTACTCCAAGTATGGTGCAGTCATATCATATTTTTCAATAAAATCACAGGGCCAGGGATGGAATGTATGACTGAAAGTACATGATAAACTAATACTAAGCCATTATAAGGGAGTTTATTGTTAGTTCATTTCCTGTCTGAATCACATCAACGATTTTAAATGTCGAAATCGATGATATTTATAGAACTGGCATTATCAGCAAATTTGGAGTCCTATTTTCGTGAAATATACGACTCTACTATAGAACATTAACTGTAAAAGACCATTATTCCCTTTTAGAGTTGGACTAGGCATGAATTATACTGTACATATGCCAACCGACATAGTATGGTTTTAACTTATTCAAATGAGTTTTGTTTTTCTTGTGTTTTAATTTATTTTCAGTGTGTGTTACTTTAGCTCAATTTCGTTGACAAAATGGTAATTTTATATTTTTTTAAAGGTTGTGACTGACTCGATGACCTAACGGTCGCTTCGTCACATCCTCGTCACAATGCCTTGAAAATAATTTTGAAATGTTGTATGTATACTATTTGACATTGTTGACGAAATAAAATACTACTACTACTACTAATCAGTTTTGATTTTACAAAAATGACTAGCTTACCGGTTGGAGCCTATTGAGGAGTTTTCGACTCCGTCCACTACCGAAGCTTTGCCGTCTCATTGATGCTTTACTTCGATCTATTGCTCTTCCAGTCTTCTGCTGTTCTTAGTGAAACGCTCCGGTATTTCGTTGATTTGAAGTTTCTGCAATGCCTAAAGTAAGGCGAAGTCGCAAACCACCTCCGGATGGCTGGGAATTAATAGAACCAACTTTGGATGAACTTGATCAAAAGATGAGAGAGGCAGAAACGGATCCTCATGATGGAAAAAGAAAAGTCGAAACTCTATGGCCCATATTCAAACTTCATCACCAAAAGTCAAGATATATTTATGACTTGTTTTATAGAAGAAAAGCAATTAGTCGAGGTAAGTGGTAGTCTGTTTCTATTTCCTGGGCAATTATATGTTATTGAATTTCGTGTTTTTAACTAATTCTTTGCGCGGCGGAGTGGCTCAACGGGCTAAGCGTTAGGAATACGCTCGCCACCGCACCTCTAATTACTCTGCGTGGGTTCGCAGGTTCGAATCCCATGGAGGGATAGTTATGTGCGAGAGGATTGCTGGACTCCTCGCCGTCGTTTGGTGGTTCACGTAACCGCTGCTCGGTTACGGCTTCCTCCACCATCAAGTCCATGCTTCCGAAAACAAACGATACAGTAAAACTAATCCCATACCCGACTTGGAATGGTAACCGGACTAGAGGCCGTGGTTCGCCATATGGATAAGCCGTCTTATCGGCTTTCCTCTCCCCCGGGATAAATATGTAAAATCCTATCCTCCTATCCTTACACATTCAGACATTATCTTATTTTTCAAATGACTTGCATCACAGCCCACACACTTCTGCACTTGAACGATTGACTAGTTCATACTTGTCTTGGTAGACTCATATTACCAGGAAAGGGACCAGTGTTGACTTTGTGAACAGGCCTATCAGTTTATGAAAACTAACCATCCTTCATGGATAAATACAAAAATCCTGTTTTCAGATTTGTAGTTGCAAATCTCTGGATTCATTGCCAGTTAATATTTTCTGGCTACCTGCTGTTACCACTTGGGCTCAGTATTAATAAAAATTGATAGGCATGGAATTTGTACATAACCTAACAAACTAATATATTGACTTGCAGAGCTTTATGAATATTGTTTGAAAGAATCAATCGCTGATAAAAATTTGATTGCTAAATGGAAAAAACAAGGATATGAGAATTTATGTTGTCTTCGATGCATTCAAGCAAGAGATACAAACTTCGGAACAAATTGTATTTGCAGAGTTCCAAAATCAAAACTTGAGGCGGTGAGGATTGTTTAATAAGTAATCTCAAATATCATCAAATAAATGAGGTTTCGGTGGAAGGCCATGCCCATGCATCTGAAATGATAGACCGCTTAGCTAGTTTACATATTTATCTCAGGGAAGAGGAAAGACGATAAGCTGGCTTAATCATTTGGCGAACCATGGCCTCTCGTCCGGTTATCAGTCCATGTGGGATTAGGTAACCAGTTATTTGGTTTCAGAAGCATGGACTTGATGCAGCGGTTATGTGAACCACCCTAGTGAGGCTGTGCTCTACCATGCGATGAAGCTATTTCATTGGCTTTCTAATCCTTCAAATAAGTATAAAAATCCCTATTTTTGATGAAAAGAAAGTGATTGCATTTGCATTTCAGTTTCACTAAACTTGGTTTACTCCACTGAGTAAAATAGTGTTCAATGAAGCTGAGAAGATCTCGAATAACCCAGGTGGTCGGGTCTCTTCTAACTATGTGTACTCATTTTTCAGGGTAAAGTTGTTGAATGCATTCACTGTGGATGTAGAGGATGTTCTGGATGAAACAAAGCCACAGCGAACAAAAGTTTATATGGACTAATAACCTGCATCAGAGCTTATTGTGATTTTAACAAATTACCAGAAAAGACTGGTGCACAACTCAATGTTAGTGACAATCGAGCGTAAAATGATTCAAGTCACTTGAATCAAGTGAACCATTATGAACAAACTTTTTGATGATGGATTAATCGAGAGTCATTTACAGATTAAGCTTTCAAACTATTTAATCGCTTCTTCTTGCATTGCTGTGATTTTATCGCTATGATTTTATGTTTTCAAGAAATCGGTGAAATATAGACATTTTTATTATGAAAATTATGTACAAATAGAAAATGGACTAAAACTGACCAGTTGGTAAGGGACAAGGGTATAAATAATAAGGACATTGAATGCTAGCCCCAAGGTTAGCTACCTGTGTTAATAGTGATTTTATATTACACACTAAAAATATAACTGGCATCGTTTGAGGTGACTAAGATTTGTCCAAAAGTGCAACTCCAGGTGAAGTACAGACATATTTGGTGCTAGCTCAATTGTAAATCTACGGTTAATTTTTCAGACACTTCCCATGCCGGCATTATTTCTTTAAATTTTTTAAGATCGATTTTCCACCAACTTTCTGAAGTAAATTTTCAGTGATTCTTTTATCTTTGATCACTCAATCCAGGTGTAAAAAGTGTGATAATATCGATACATTTCAATTCCACTCAAATCCATTTTTTTAACATCAAGAAGTTGAAAAGTCCTTCCACTTTCTTGTGGAGTTCGATGAGAGCTGAGTTCACCAAAAAACAAAACTGTTTCCCTCGGAAACAAGATTTGTGACTTCCTCCGTATTTTTCGGCAACAAATCGTGCAAGTTTGCAACCAGATAGTTGGAATTTTCATGAGATCGTCTACTGGGATGCGTAAGTCTCATCAGCAGAGGTTGCTTTGTCAAGCTTTGAATATCTCTTCTGTATTCTTGGATCTCTTGGGGTGAGAACCGTTTCTTCCAACAACTTATTCTGCTCTTCTGTTGTGAAATATGACGCTCCCTGACCCTAAATAAGATTTACATATTGAATTAATGGAGATAGGGTGCTCATAACCAGATTAGCTTGGATTTAGGCACCAATAATATTACCTTCAGTTTTTATATTGTAGCATTGAAATGTTATGATTATGACTGCATAACACTTTATTAATTTCTTTTGATTATACACATTCATGTTATCGGAAAAAACACTAGATGATTGTAATATGGACAATGAATGCATTTATAGACCAATACATATCTGATAAAGGAAATTAGATATTGTAATTCATATGAATTACATTGTACAATGCCCAGCCCTAGTTTTTTGTTAGCTGGGATCTCACTTAGGGTTGCCATACCGTCCGGAATTTAGGGTTAAATTTTGTGTCCGGGAAGAATTAAAAAAATGCTTAAATGTTCGGAATCCGGAATTTTACTGCATCTGCAACCGTACTGTGCGCACTGCTAATACAGAACTTGTTTTTTTGTACCGTGCGCGTATTTTTACTACGAAGTCATGAAAATAGTCCTTCGTCTTTTAATCATACTATAATTTCATTACCATTCCAATTGGAATTTCAGATCACACAGCATCGGACATCCTCTTGCTATAATTGTATTTTAGTAATTAAGATATAAAAATACACCTGCGTAAAATAAACACAAAAATATGAAAGTTTAATTAGCATAATGTTTTCAATGAAGTAATAAACAAAAAGTATATTGCATCAAAGGGATTATCATATGATTGATTGTTGGCAAATATTTACCGGTAATACATTTAAACGTGAATATGGCACTTTTTAACAATAATAGAATTGTAAACTAAGGTAAGTGCTGGCTTTGGCCATGATTTATCGAAAACATTCAACTAATTTCTATACAAGTGCATATTAAAGTATTTTATCTTCTTTGAATAGTAGCTTAAAAGAAAGTAATAGAGGGAAACTTATTAATTGAATAAACATGATTAATAAAATAACGAGAATATATATAATATTGGTTCCCTGATTAACATATTGTCATGCATGGTTCAATAATACGGAGCATATTTTAGGTTCTTTGGCAAAAAACAGGATGATACATTGCACTTCTTCACACTTTGGCAAGATTTTTGAAACAACAATAACATTGAAAGTTATCAGAGCATGCTTTGGCATTTATGATTGCGCTTGTTATTTAAAAAATGAGACTGTATGGTCCGGGGTGCCGAAATTCTTTGTTAACAAACAATTTCCCCCAAAGTGAGCTACAGCAATGTACCAGTGTTGTTTTTTGATTATCTTTATCGACCAATGGCCTGTGCTCGTGTGCCCATTTGTAGATACTCCCTTCTACATTTCGAAGTTTAATGCTGGAATACGGTAATTTCTCAGTATTATCTGTGAGGAATTCTTCAGGGTCAACAGGTGACCCCTCTTTTTCTTTCATTCGCTTAAGCCTTCGTTGCGTAATTGACACCAAAATTGAAGCCCTGATTCCCACAGCGCAGTACACAAATACATCCAACTCTTTATCCCTTTTCTCTCTCTCTTCAATCTTTTCCTGTATAAGGTCGATGACACAGTCGCATTGCTCTCTATATGGTTTGTTGAAATCCACCCAGTTAGCACACAACAAGTGACTGACATCAAACTCCGCTCTTTCTCTGATGTCTACGACTAGGATATCCGAATTTGATTCATTGACATTCGAATTCGGCTCAAGTAAAGACTCCTTAGACAAAATATTCTCAAATTCTTGAGTTGTAATTGTCTCAACTTCTGGAAATTGTTTGGATGTCAATGATATTATAGTACATAAAGATTTGCTCAATTTTTTTAAATCCTCGCGCTCTGTATCACTCATGTTTTATTTAAATCTGAGATACAAAATATCAATCAACAATAACGGTAGGCAGATAAAAATTGTAACAAATGTTTTTGAAAACTTTTTACAAGTGAAGACCCATTGATGGTAGTATACTTTAACATACACATGTTAATACAATAAAGTAATAAACTATAATATTCAAGAAAAACCTGTAGAATGCTGAAGCATCAAACGAATGATGAATTAACTTAATCTTTCACACCATATTGCTAATATTGAGATGTTAATCAAGTTCTGATCAAAAGGCCACTCAAACATAGGTACCATAATCCATTTTTACACCATAATGGGGTTGACAATTTTAAGGGATATCTAAATGAGATACCAGTAATGTTAACCAATTTCAAAATATAGGTCACTCAAAAGTCAAGTAACTATAGATCTAAGTCGAAAAAGTACCTGAAAATGAATGCATTCAACAACAAAAACATAACATATAAAAATTGTGTATAAAAACTGTACTCCCGTAGTATGTGTACCAGATTAGGGTTAGGGCATAGTTTTGTTCCGATTTTCCTTATTTTAGGTCTATTTTGAGTTTAGGGACTGTTTATGTTATAGCCAAGTGAATATACCCCCTGGCCATAGGTTTCAGTCCCTTTACACAACTTGATGTAAAGTAGGCGAACAAAATTAGTTACCTCATTACATATTGGTACACATACTTCTGGAGCGCCATATAAACAGCTTGAAGAAGTTGCCATATTGTGCAAATGAAATGTCTCATAATATATCAGCGGATTGCTGAACTAACCGATATTAAAAGTGCAATCAATACTGCAAAAATAGCAGATAATATTCTGACTTAGTAACAAAGACTTGCACATTGAGAAATTACTAAAATCACAACATGTAATGCATATTATTTAAGGGAGAGGTTTATAAGTGAAGTAATTTTTATAGCATTATGATAAAATATTAAAACATGCCCAGTACAAAATACTTCTTTAGATGCTTGAATAGAAATATAAAGAAGATAAATTTCAAACATATTTTTAAAATACTAAAATTTGCTTATATCAGTATATACTCACATGACATGGGCAGGATCAAAGTGGTTTCTTTGGCTTAAATCGATAAGATTTGTTCAGTAATTTACCAAAGAATGCATTGTATGGATGAACTAAGTCAGCTTTATTTCCATCTTTGTTAAATACTTGCCGTTTTTCATTTGCCCATTGGAATATTCCACCAGTAATATTGTAAAAATTGATGTTTTGTTTTGAAAATTTCTCATATGAAGGACTTTTCGTGATTTGACTAATTAAATCAGACGACCTATATCCAACTGAGCAATAAACATAGACGTCGGTGTTTTGTTTTTCTAAAAGTTTTTCCTCTACTTCGCATAGTTTTTCTTTAGTAGGGAGTTTTTCGTCGATCCATACTGCATTAGATAGACAACTAACTTCAAACTCGTCCACATAACGTACGTCCAAAAGCATAAGATTTGGAGAATTTTCAGTTGGTTGAATTTTACCCATTTTTGAATGTAAATCGGTCGTGGAAACGTGTTTAACTGAAGGATATTTTTTTCGAATCCCCGCCATCACAAGCTTCATAGAAAGAGGAGCTTTCTGTCCTGTTTGTGGTGGTTCCGATGACGAACTGGCCATTATGAATTTTGTAACAACAAGAACAAAAGTTACCATGAAAGCGAGAAATAAAACGTCAAAATACTCAAAATATAAATACGACATTCGAATTGACTTGTCGGAATTGGCAAGTTGGAAAACAACAAAACAAACTATCGAGCGCCCACTAGCGTGAACGTAATTTATTGTGATAATATTCAAAGAAGGGAGGCTTGCTGCGATTTTTGTTGTTACGTAACTTTGTTTACGTTGACTATAAACATCGTGCGAAGACACGTGACGAAGTTAACAGCTGATCGTTAATTCTGTTACGTAACTATTGATTTATATGGTTTCACTCGAGTGATTCCTTGCACAACACTGACGCAATTTCTTCATTTTCAGTCGGTACCGGGAGTTTTCGTATGCAAATTTAGTACAGTGTTTCAGCCCTAGATCTTGAAAGCTTGGCTGTGACATCACTGATATGGAGCGAAAAAGTCATGGAAATGGACCTGGAGTAAGTAAAATTTTGTTTAAGTGATTTCTGGATGCGTTTTAAACTTTTACTTATAATTCAGTAATCGTATAACATCTGAATATACGGTAACTGTCAACTGTTACCGGTATATAATTGAAAGAACATCGAAACATGATAAGCTTTTATTACTACAGTCAGAGTCACAGTATATAATATTCTCTATACTTTTATGCCATATTATGAACATATAGGCCTAGGCTAATACATTATTTTTGAATTATATTTATAGCCTTCCAGGTCCAAGCCATCAACAAGAAAAATGAATATTTGGCAACAAGTTGATAGGATTGGTGAAATGAATGCACCCGATGTTCATCATGTTAATCAGCAACATGAATTGGATATTGAAGGTGTAACTGTGTACGACCAACAAGCCTTGGAGCAAGGTAATTTATTATATCGAATTGTCTATTCATTCAAACCATCTTACTACCTTATGGACTATCCTTCAAGTTGAATATATGAATCTGAAACAAGTTCTTAAACTGCTTGGTGGGTTTTTCATGTGTATTTGAAACATGGTTACCATCTCATAAACCCTGTTTATGGGGATTATGTATAAGAAATTTCTTGAACTTCCTAATACAGTAATATGCAGTATCTTTTTCAACTCCAAGGCAAGCTTTATTCTTTAGAATTTTGAATACACAAGCTGCAATTAAGTATATCTGTAATTTTTTATAAACCATTTCAGGTATGATAAATCAAATGGATGCTGCATTTAATGAAAGAAAGAAAGTATTAGAAGTAAAAAGAGCAAACAGGGAGATCAAACTGGTGCAGGCAGATATTAGGTAAAGTGATGTCACCTGATTAATAATATTGCTTGTACGAAGAATTTTTTTCTGCCATGAATATCGGTGTTTTAATGTTTCGTTTTGAACCGCTTCTTACGCTATATGCTTATTTGGTCAGTGAATTCTATCTTTACCTCTAACCCCAAAACAATCCGGTCCTTCCAAAAATAGTAGCAAGGTATTTTTAGATTTCAGTGGCTAATTGTACCGGGCCTTGTTGATAATGAAAGCCGTGAATAAGCACATTATAGAAAAAATAAATTAGAGATAAAATTCTTCATAAATAATGACTTTTTTAAACACTTCTAAATGCAAAAACGTTTCATCTAAATTATACTTTTTCATCTACCGTAAATAAATAATTTCAACTTCTGTGCAGAGAAGTTAAATTCAGCATTGCTCAAGCGGAAAGAACTCTGGGAATTGTGACATCACAAGCTCATGATAAAGAAACAAAGAAAAGATTGGATTCTATTAAATGTCAAAAGTCAAACAAGGAAAAACAGCTGAAAACATTACAGGTGCAAAATAACAAAATAAAAACAATTGAATGCCTTTATCTGGTTAATGATTCAATATAATATAGTCACTAATCAGATTGCACTGTTCGTTACTCGTCTTCTGCAGTTGTCTAATATTTAGAACAAGAACGCGTTTGCTGAATACCATGACATTCCAAGAATGGGTACGAGCGAATTCCTCCTGAATGCCCCCCCCTGTATAATATAATAACCCCACAATTTTCCTATTATTCCACCTATAGGCAAAGCTGAAACGGCTACAGAAGACAGCAGGTCTTATAAGCGAAGATGAGACGGAATCGAGCACCCAAGATCAAGAAATTGAGAAAGGTAGAATATGCTAACATTTGTGGTTGTTAGAAAGTGGTTTCTACCAGATTTTTAATATCAATACAGAAAAACTTCATCTGGGTAACAAAATTTTGGGAGTGGTAACCAAGGATGGCCAAAAACCGAATAATTCAGTATTTCGAATTCATTCTAAAATAATCTTAATGAAATATCGAATATATTCTGAAATGGGTCTTTTCGACAAGAAAAATTCTTTAAATAAGACAATTGTAAATTCATAGAAATCAAATTAAGTCATGCAGAATAATCGATTTTAATGTTGTTTTAATTATTATTCTCTATTTTATTTTATCAGAAGTTACTAATTTTCTTGTCTATCATAAGATAAAAAATGCTCGAAAAGAAATTTTTGAATGAAATTATTCTATTGAATATAGGTAACCAGTTTTGAATGTTTTCAAATATTCGATTCATTTTGGACATAGCGCTGTCTTTTCATCTTTTCTGCCCCTGAGGATTCATATGAACAACCTATCCTATCCTAATTTATCTTAATTTTTTTTTATTTCAGCTACTTCTTCTGCAGTTAGTTGGACGTTAACAGGTCAAAATGACGAAGAAAGAGATCGATTAATAAAATTAGGATACATGACTCCATTTGGCTCAGTTGCCGAAGTATCACAAAAAATCGAAGAAAAGCCTCCGAAGAAAAAATTTTTTTTGGACGAAGGATTTAATAATTTTTTAAGCGCACAAATAAAACCAAAAAAGAAGTCGGATAAAGATAAAATGCCAAAAAAAAGAGTGAAAACGAATACAGAATTAAATAAAAATTTTAAAATACCCAAAAAGGGAAAAGGAACAGGATTGAAGTCTTGGCTTGAAGGTAATCTTAACAGTTGAAACCATGAACATTTTTGAATACAAATATCGAATTATTCAGGTATATTTTTTTTACATACAGTTTTTCAACAGTCATATGTGCTTATATGTAGCTAGCTTTGAATGTAGGCATGTGTTTTATGTGTATTATTTTCTGATAAAGTGTAAAACTAACTAACGCTTATCAGAACATTCAAACTCTTTTTTTTTTCTTACAATTTTGCCTAAAAAAAGGTTTTGAGTTCTCAACCACAATTGAAATTCCAAAAGTGATGAGCAACCACTGTCGTACCAAGAACTGTGTATATTCTTTCTACAGGGACGGAGTGATAGCAGAGACACATCTATCATGACATTGTTAAATATGTTTTTAGATGAATCGACTGATATTGTTGACGAAGCAGCAGGCAATGAAGGAACATTGAGTCCAAAGAATGGTTCTGAAGCTGTTGAACTTGAATCAACATCAAAAGGTTTGATAAATATATATAATACAAATGTTATGTACCGGTAACTTATGTCTATTAGTAATGTAACATTTGCTCAGAGCAAAGTCAAGAAACTATAATGAGTTATGGTGGTGCATTATGCATAAGTTATTGTAGGTTGACTTGATTACGCTCAACCGTGGACATGTACAAATTGATATTATTTTGGAAATTGAATTTTTGATTAGGCATATAAACTGTTGAACAAGGTTTTTTTATTGTTTTTTTTTTCTGGTATTAGTTTCATTTGACTGTCAGTTATCTGCTACACAAAAGGGTAAAATTTGGAATGAGATTCAAGATAAGAAAATAAAATAATAAGATAATGATAAAAACCTAATATCAAAATTTCAAATGTATTGGAATAAACTTTTTCAAGTTTGTGCCTGGTTTTCTTTCTGTTTGGGAGAAATTATTTTTATTAATTTTTTTTTAGAAGCGTCACCAGAAGGAAGTGATGAAGATTATATTCCAGATCAAGATGAAACATCCAGGATAGAACAGGAGGAAGAAATAAATGAAAGAATGATGGAAAGTAAGGAATGCTAGAATTTCAGCTCACTATCAATCGATATAAATTTGGCTTATTTTGTAAATAATTTTTTTCATTTGAATTTATCTAAAATATTATCTTGCAACATAAATATGACTATCCCTGGAGACCCTGATATTTCAAGCTGCTAGACTGCTATATAATCTATTCCACATTTTCATTTTTCAACTCAGGAGATATAGATCATGAAAGGAAGCCGATAAAACAACCAAAATATGATCCAGATACCGGACTTCCTATCTATGAATATGAAGATGAATTTGAAAAAAAAAGTTCAAAATTGAAGTTAAAAAAAGGGTGAGAACCTATTTCTGTATTATAAATAGAGTTTGAATAAATTTGTTGCGGTTAGAACTTAGATCAAAAATTTGTGCAATTGCTTGTTCTGTCATGCCACCCCTCCTCACTCAATCAGGGTTTAGTGTTTGTTAAGCTATACAAATATGAAAAGATTGTTTTATACTCTTCTGAATTTCTTAAGTTTTTTACTTGCTTGTACAGAGCCTTTTTCGCAGCAAAGCCTTGACCACCTCACAAAATTATTTTCAGTTACACAAGAATCAAAGATGATGGAAAGATAGAAAATTACAAAAATAGGATGGAAATTTATCGACGGAAAATTGCTGAAGAAAAATCTCTCGGAATTGAAATACCGGAGGATAAAGATTTAGGAAATGGATTCAAAGTTCCAGGACGGATTTGGAGTAAATTATACAAGTAAAAAATCATTTGAAATTTACACTATTCAATCCTGTATTAGTTTTCTTTTCATTTCATATTGTATAAAAACAAAAAATACTTCGTACTTTCTGACTAGTATAATTAAAATTCAATTTTTTGTATCTTCATAGTCAAAAATTTCCAATTTAAGGAATCTATGTAGCCAATGTAGGCATAGAATGATAACAACATTGCCTACTGCCACTGGTATGTGGATTTCGAAAGTTACATATCTCGTGTCTATGTCGTTATCTTAATAATAATTATCGAAATGTACTAAATTGAGTAAGTTATGTCAGACTCAAGGATTTCAATTTTTGTGAACTAACTTGGAACTGGAAGCTCTTTTCAGTAGAGTTCTGGACTATTTAAAAATGAATAATCCTAATGGAGTAAGTACTTTGATATTGTACATGATTTTTTTTAAATTTTTTTAATTAGCTCGTTTATTTTCAGGTATCAAAAAACAGGAGTACGCTGGATGTTTGAGCTTCATTCACAAAAAGTTGGCGGAATCTTAGGAGATGAAATGGGGCTCGGAAAAACAGTTCAAATTATATCTTTTCTTGCTGGGTTGCAACTTTCAGGTCTCAGGAGTAGAAGTGTGCCTGGACATGCGTATGAAGGACTCGGCCCTGTTTTGATTGTTACCCCGACAACTGTCATGCATCAGTGGGTTCGTGAGTTTCAAACTTGGTGGCCACCGGCTCGTGTCGCGATTCTTCACGATTCAGGAACTTTCGATAGCTCAAGGGTGAGTTTGTACAATAGCTTATAAAATCAATTTGAATTTGGTATTATTAATTTCAATTAATTCATTCTGAAAGAAAATTTTAAGAAGGCTCATAATGATGCCTTCCTACGGATACAATTTGTTGATTTCTCTAGTCTGACAATTGGGTTGTATAGATTTCGAGAGTCCCAATTCAATTACATTCGGGCCGAATACGATACATCGTAAATTCCATAAACAACAGTGAAATGGTAAAACATGAATCCTATTTACACTGACACTTGGAACTTCCATCTTGCATAAAACACGTTATTCTTTCACTAGCGTAAAATTTTTCAAAGATCATAATATTTTTGTCATCAATTCAAGATCTGATGGGTTTGCTAGTCCACGTTCGAGTTAATAAGAAGTAAATTCATTAAGATAACTCGATTCTATATTGCCAATAATGTGTTGAAGCCTTGTCCTCCAACTATTGAATACTTACATTCTACCTAGCTATATACAACTCAACACACATCTAACAGATCCAAACAATCTTTTTACTTTCTACAGGCTCAACTAATTGACAATATTTCTCAAACTAAAGGAATTTTGATCACATCATTCGAAAGAGCTCGAATTAACATCGAAATGCTGTTGGAATATGGATGGCATTATGTGATACTTGATGAAGGCCATAAAATAAGAAACCCTGAGGCTGCTGTGACAACTGCACTCAAATTGGTAAGATGTTTGTACTTCATAAATGGCTATGTATATGTACGTCTGGTGATGATTAAATAAGTATGTTAAATACTACAGGCAGATGAAGAAGTTATTTTGCTAATTTATTACAACAAGAACAGCAATGTACACTCTGCCAAAATGTAGACTTGTAGTTTTAGTCGGGAGTCTTATCAGATAATATAGTTTATTACTAGTTTGATAGTATAATTGTAAATAAATCACATCCTCAGGTGGCTCATGGAAAGGTCCTCAAAAACCTTTAAACTAATAAATCTTCATTTTTTATATCCAATTTCAAGTACGGTAGGTTACTAACTCTCACTGATAGTCGGGAAGACCGGAAAATAATATTATTTGGAAAAAATGTTTTCAAATCTGGATGTTATTATTTTATTATACAGTTTCGAACTCCACATCGTCTTATTCTGTCTGGATCTCCAGTTCAAAACAATTTGAGAGAATTATGGTCGTTGTTTGATTTTATATTTCCTGGAAAACTTGGAACACTGCCTGTATTTATGGAACAATTCTCCATTCCTATCACACAAGGTGGATATTCAAATGCAACTGAAATACAAGTAAGCTAGGAAGAAATCTTGGGCATGTCTTGTGGTTAAAGCGTTGGACTATGTTGGTATTACAGGTTACACATATCGGGTTCACATTCCATGCCCAACCCTTCACTCAGGTTGTAATACAGTGGATAGTGGGCAAATTGACTGATTTTTCTGTCCTTCCAAATAGAGTATCTGTTTCTAAATTGTTACGTATGTCGTATTGATGGATGCTTGTGTAAATGGTTTCTGTTCGGAGCAAAATCCAGGAATAAGCGTTGTATAAAAAAAATGTATTCCACGAATCAAGAATTTAAAATATTGAATATGAATAATTTGGAATCTGTTTGGATATTTGGTTCATTTTGGACGTATGGTAACTGGTTTGTTAGAGCCTTTCATATCCAGTGGCAGTAGCACACTTTTAGTGTTTTGATTAAATAAAAGTGAAAAGGGTGATATGTCTTACATAATGTATTTTTTTTTTAGGTTCATACTGCATACAAGTGTGCTTGCAAATTACGAGATACAATTTCACCGTATTTGTTACGTCGAATGAAACGTGATGTGCAAGTTGCTATTGATTTGCCGTCAAAGAACGAACAAGTGTTGTTCTGTAGATTGAGTGAACATCAGATCGAAGTTTATAAAAAATATTTAGACTCCGATGCCGTGCATTCTATACTGACAAGAGAAATGAAGGTAAAGTTCACGTTTTTTTGAAGCATCTAATGTATAAGACATAAAATATTTTGGCTCATATTTTTATGACAAATGCTCACAAATGGTTCAAACGTCCTGGGTGCAAATGTCAGCGGGTGCAATCTATATGAGGGTGCTAAAATGGGTGGAAATATATGGGTGCAAAAGTATGCAGGTGCAAACGTGCATGTGTGCAGTTTACGGGTGCAAATCTGCTATCACCGCACAAATGACATCAAATGTATGACACAGATGTATTAAATGAAGTAAAAATACGTAAACAATTACTGATTCGAAACAACAGACCTGGTTATATTGAGAACTGATTTCATAACAAAATTGAAATTGCAAAGGGACTTTATGGACACCTTGTATTACTATGTTCATTAGATGTTTGAAACCTTCTCTCTAAACAATTCTTCGCATATTCTCTCTTGCATATTTTTTTTTTCAAATGTACTTAACGTAAATATTAGTTTGTAGTAAATTAATAGATTTGGCCATTCTTGATTGTACCATAAATACAGGAATTTTTCAGGTAACTTTTTCACTGAAACATTCAGAAGAATTTGAAAGATTTCAAAAATAGTCATTTTGTAGTAATATACAAGTTTGTGCCAGTCAGCCAGCAGTGACTAGGTCTGATCATGAATAATTTCGTATCATCTTATTTCAATTAACTCTTTTTTTCTAGGTATTCGCAGGGTTGATTCAACTTCGTAAAATTTGCAATCACCCAGACTTATATACAGGAGGTCCTAAGATCATGGTTGGTGAAGCCACACCAAATCCTGAAGATGAACGTAGCTTCGGATTTTATAAAAGATCTGGGAAAATGTTGGTCATAGCTTCGTTACTTAAAATATGGAAGAAGCAGGGACATAAAGTATTGTTGTTCACTCAAAGTAAAGCAGTGAGTATGAATGAATTCGCTGTAAATTGAATAAATTTTGATATAGTATATATGAAAGTTTGATCAGACAGTAATCAAATCAAATTTCGACGGGTTGTTTTCATATCTTCGTGCTCAAGACAAGGTTCCAGACAGAAATATTATGTGAAGGGTTTTGGAAAAGGACCAAAATATTTATGGCTGACATCCAGTTTTATTGCACTTCACTTCATTTGGGCCTGGGGTTCAAACCTGGGATCTTTATTCTGTCACACCAAGGAATAACCAGTCCAGCAATCCTTTCGCATGTGATAATCGCCTGCATGATTCAAACCTACGAAAGCACGCAGTAACTATTTCAGTACTCGACATGGACTGGTATCCGGACGAGAGACCACGGTTTGTCATACGATTAAGCCATCTTATTAGATTCCTTCACTTGGAATAGATATGAAAATCATATCCTATATGAAATCAACTATCTTCCTATCGTTCCTATACAGAATAAGTAATGATTTAAGCGAATTTTATTAATTAATAATTACTAATTAATGCATTATAAATTACTGATTTTTTTTTATAACACAGATGCTGGATGTCCTAGAAATATTTGTTTCATCGAAGGGATACAGATATTTTACAATGCATGGTGGAACACCTGTATCATCCAGACAACCACTTGTAAGCAGGTTCAACAAAGTAAGTAAGTTTGCTTTAGCACTCCATGTATTGCATTGATTCAGTTTATGACAAAAGCTGTGTGAAATATAACTGGTTGTTTGTCATTTTTCTGTGGGGGATATTTTTAATGTGATGGTAGAAGGGACTGTTAATGACTGGCAAGCAATTTTAACCAAAATTTATCATTGTTCCAGGACCCTTCACTATTTGTATTTCTGCTCACAACCAGAGTGGGTGGGTTGGGGGTCAATCTCACTGGGGCAAATAGGGTCGTGATCTTTGACCCTGACTGGAACCCCAGCACAGATGCTCAAGCACAAGAACGAGCATGGCGCATCGGACAAAAACGTGATGTAACGATTTATCGACTTTTAACATCGGGAACAATAGAAGAAAAAATATATCATAGGTAAATTGGTTCTCTGTGAACAACGCTGTGAAAAACAGTTTTGATTAATACTCTCAACCTTTTTAATGAATTTAGCCATCTCAACATTCTAAATAAAAGAATGTGTTTGAAATGTGTTGGGGAATATCTTATCATTTTCTAACATTGGAAATCTAGCAATTTCTTGCACATATGATGATACAATGCCTCTTCCAATTGAAGTAATACAAATAAACTACATTGGGACGGGGGTTATGATCTTGAGAGAATAACTTCCAACATAAAAAGTTGTACAATGCATATCATTATACCCTTAAATCTCAGAGTACTTTCAATGATTTCAATAACATACTTTCACTTGTATTTCTGCCTAATTTTAGTCCTTATATTAATGAATGTTTTATTGTAATTTGGAGTTTTGATTTTGAAATTGAAAAAAATTATTATTTTGCAGGCAAATTTTCAAACAATTTCTGTCGAATCGTATTTTGAAAGATCCATTACAAAGAAGATTTTTTAAATCAAATGATCTGCATGAATTATTTCTTTTAAAAGATTACGGAGACGAGGAGAAAAGTGATAAGAAAAAAGGTAATATTAACTACAATGTATCAACGGAAAACAATTTTTTGCTCTCATTTTGGTCCAAATAAGAAATTTGGCAATATATATTTGGTCACTTTTGCTAGAGTACTCTTGCATTATATGGATACAGAAACACATAAAAGGATAAAATCAAAGGTGGAAGATAAGTAGTTAGGTATATTTAAATTTTTTCTCTTTGGTATTTAGTGGGCGCTCTGGAAGTATTCGTACCAAGATGACGCACAGCCTAAAAAACCCTAACCTGGTACACATACTATGTTCGGGTTGTGCGCCATCTTGGTACGAATACTTCGGGAGCACTATTTAGTGTACCTTTTAATCTATATTTGCACAATCCATCATTTGTTCCATATTAAAAATCTTCATTTCAGATGGCGAAACTGCAAATTGCAAGACAGAAACTGCTGCTATTTTTGCTGGAACTGGTTCAGAAGTTCTTCCAAAGAAGAAAAAGATGTTGCAAAAACAAGAAAATAACCAATTAATGATCATGGTGAATTCGAAAACAAAATATGCTATTACATCAGGAAAAAGCAAACCAGAATCAAAATTAGCGGATCAAACGAAACTCGACAAAGAACCGAAACAAGACATGATTTCTATACTACCTCAAAAACCTGCCATTACCTCTGATTATTCAAATGCAAAATCGACTAATTTTGGAATTTATTCCGAAGAAACAGGTAAAATCACAACTTTGCCTCTTGAAGAAGATATAAAAACAGATGATTTAAAAGATGCAATGAAAGATGGAGAAATTTCTGAAAATAGAAATGGAAAAACAACTCCTAGTTTCAAAGAATCGTTGATGAAAGCAAAATTAAAGTTTGAAGAAAAGAAAAGGGCTGAGGAACTTGATATTATGACAAAAGAAAATAAAAAGTCAAGAAAAAATAAAAGGAAGAGAAAGAAAGCAGGTTAGTATGGTTTTATGGTGAATAATTCTTAATTAAGACGATAAATCGGTGTAGTTCAAGAAATTTAGGATTTTTACACTTTGACCCCAGTTTTGGATTATTTTTATTAGATTTGAATAAATCATCCACTGGTATTTAACGATGTGTAAGGGGCCATTATTTTTTAGGAGGACTGAGATCGTTTCATTTTAACTTTGTCTACTCAATTTATTTCAACGTGGGTGAGATGCCGGTGGAAAATTTTGACTCCTGCAATCAATTTTTGACTAAATGAATACTGGAAATATGACCCAACCTAAATCTACAGACTTCAACTTTTATCAGCAGTACTATCATTTATAATATCTCTGCCTTGACATTTTGTTAACAGAAGTGGACGGGGAAATAGTGAACAATGTTACAGCAGTAGAACAATTCAAATCAAATAATGATTCTGCCGAAGTTATTGAAGAAAAAAGTAAAAAAGCAACAGATGATTATGTTCTCCGAAGATTGTTTAAGAGGGCAGGTAAGATGTAAATTAAATTAATGTATATGGAGGTCTGTAGTAAAAAACATGCCCTACACTTCATGTAATAATCGTCAGTGGCGTGTCTACGGTATGGCAGACATGGCTCGTGATGTGGGCACTGTTTGGTTTGTGGCGCAAAAAGAGCGAAAAATTTTCATCGAAAAATGTTTCAATAAAATAATAACATACAAGCATCTCGAGTTAACAACTGTCGTTAAACATTGTCGGTCGACGATCAAGGGGGCTCATTTTCAAGTTTTGCTATGGGCGCTATTTATTTAGATACGCCACTGATAATAGCAGAAACACTTTGATGACAATATAGTTTTTCATGAGGTGTCTCTATTCATTCACATCATACCATATAGCCTACCAAGTCTGGGGGCCAGCAGACTTATTAAGTAAGGAGTTACCATTTTTGGAACAATTTGCATCTTTAAATACGGCATTACAATGAGTTTGCACGATAATACATTGCTCAAGAAGATCCCTGTTCTACCAAAACAGACGTTTTTGTGGCGGGTGAATTCATACATATTCACTCCAAACCAGTCACTGATATGCAAGGAGCTGACAATCAGAATACCTCTTGTTCTTCATTTTGTACCCAGTTTATTAACCTGAAGATCAGTGGCTTCTCATTTGGAGCACTGTTTTCAGAGTGTCTTTTGAAATAGCAGGAATCTATAATAACTTACATGAAATGTGCAATGAAATTCCTAACCTTTGACCTTATTTTGCTTTCATTTAATTAGGTGTACACAGTGCATTACAACACAATACAATAATGGATAGTGCTCATCCAGATTTCGCTTTGATTGAAGTGGAAGCTGAAAGGTAGGAATATTCAAAGATTCAAGTTTTAGAATTTCGAATACTTGGGATTACTGCCTTTTTCCATAACTTTTAATATTTAATTTTCATAGTATCCATCTATGACTATGTAGTAAAATTCACGATTTTTCTGTAACTTTATCTATTTAGGTATTTAAAAGTCATTCCTCTGTGACGAATAAAAGTAATTTTTCTGTTACAGAGTGGCAAAAGAATCTGTGAGAAATCTTCGTTTATCAAGAAGGCAATATCAGTTTCCTACTGGAAGACAATCACCTAATACCACAAAGTAAGATTTTATTATGAATTTGGGAGTTATTGATATTTGAAAAAGGTGTTAGTATTAAATAATAAGCTGACTTGAACAACAATATTCCATTCTTTGTTTGAATTTGATATATATCAAATTTTGTGATGTGAATTTTAGCTTATCATTCAATTTCGATTTATTTTAAAAGATTAAACAACCACAATGAAATACCCTACAATGAGCAAACTACTTTTTTTTTTCAGGTTGAGATTTGGTAAGAAGCCATCTTCAACGACTAAAAGAAAGATGGAAAAAGATGACAGTTCTGTTGTCAAACTCGAGAAAGAAAAAAATAAAATATTCAAAGCTTCTCACATCAAACCTGAGTCAAAAGATGGTAAGATTTTTATTTAAGGTTAGAATCAACATGTCAAATCAATATAGAAACTAGGGCGCTCCAGAAGTGTATTTACCAATAATGAGGTAACTAATTTTGTTTGCCTACTTCATACATCAATTTGTATAAAGGGACTGGTATATATGGATATATATTTATAATATATGGGTATATATAAATAAAAGTCCACAATCACGATTTTTGGATAGATTATTTCGGTTTTAGCATTCCATGCATGACTGATTTGGTTTATGACAAAAGCTCTGTAAAATATAGATGGTTGTTAGTCATCTTTTTATTGGGGAATTATTCTCTTACACAATATACTAAAAAAAATTACAAAATACTTTTATAAAAAAAAAATCTTTGTAGATAAATCAGATTCCGAAAGTGAATCAGGTTCAAGCAAAAGTAATTCTCCTGCTCCTTTATCTGCTTCTCAACTATTACTATCGATGAGAAGACGAAATCATGATGAAATTCACAAACAAGAAGCATTTGATACTGCTCAACAAAATGAGGAGAACGAGATGTTTGGATTCACTATTTCTCAAACATCCGGAGGTATTTTCAAAAATCAATTGGTTTATACACAAATTCGTTATCTGTTTGTACCCACTGGTTACATAGGCTTTATGGGAGCTCCATATTCTTTATTTTTCTGAGCATACCTTAGCATCATGGTTCAGTCGTTCATTAACCATAGTTATCTAAAGCTCAAGTTGTTGCCGTAAAATACCAAATACAAGTTCGTTCATAATAAAGAAATTTTGCTGATAAATGAGTGGGTGTAATTGTTGTTGCTATTGTTGTATTAGGTATTGCTCCATTTTATTTGTAGTTGGCAGCTATGCTTTCAGCAGTGGTATTTAAATATAATTTTGAAATTTGGTTACACAACTCTCAGGCGTTTAATTATGATTCACTTTTTTTATGTATCTCGCTTATACATGGCACGTGAATATAGCACATCTTTTACAGTTCATGGTTGGATACCAGTCAAATTTTTGGTTTGTCGATAAAATTTCTAACAGTCTATCTGTATATTTAGGTTTGGATGGCTGTACTCAGAATCCAACAGAGCATGATGAAATTCTGGACGATTTAAGAAATGTTATTGCATTCCAGTGTGAGGTAGGATACATTTATATTTCATGTTGTAAGTTTGTCAGGACCATGCATTTGGCCTTAAAATATGTGTATGGGTTAATTTGGTTTGTTATCATACATAAATAATACTCATGCAACTTGCTAAGATATATTTCTCTAATTAGGAATTACCTCTCCAATGTTAACTGTTTTTTGTTTAGGTTGATGGTCAAGCAAGAACATCAGAAATAATGTCATATTTTGGTGATAGAGTAGATCCAGAACATGCTGCTGTTTTCAAATCAATATTGAAAGAACTTTGCACTTCAGAAGATTCCAGAGACACAAATGAAAAAATATGGACGCTGAAACCTGAATTTAGATAATGTGTTCCATTCCACTAGCTAATCTTCTGCTGTTGAGATTATAATTCAGTACAATTAATATGCAAAAAAATTGTTTGTTTTCAATCATGTTGGATAAATATATATCACAGTAGATGTTGCTCCTTGGGTAACCCTTTGATTGGAGCAAAGACATAAGGTGCCTCATAATTGTTTTTTTTCAGATTTTCAGAGGTCTACCATAAATATTTTTTGACTCAGTTTCGGTAGGCATATATATATATATATATGATTAGAACTTCCACTGGTAATCATTCACAGCCAACATGCCTCGAATGAGATCTGGGCCAGGGTTATGACATGTTTAAAAACCACTGCTGCAAATGAATTAATATTCTTTCTGTGTAGCTATGTATTGACTGGCCATAACTTTGCTGATAGTTTTCTAGGATTTACGAAATCTATTTTATTATAAATACTTTTTCTTAGTTTATTCAAATTGTGTGAAATTGACGATTGTACTATCAACCTAACCCCAGACTCTTTTACTTATGAGTGAGCATGATAGCAAATTTGTTTCGCTGGCCATAAAAAAACAAATAAATCCTTCCTGAAACTATATCTGTGGGCATAGTAATACATAAACCTTGCCAAATTAGGATGTGAAAACAAATGTTTTGTTTAATAAGACCTCAACCTAATCTACCATCATACCAAATGTGCCATTTTATGAACTAGCAACATCAAATCATGTAAACGATCAAGACCTCGCTTCTGACTATTTTTAATTCTTTTTATATCTTCCATTTGTTGAATAATTTCAGCACCTTCAAATCAGCTGGGCTGAAGAGTATGTTATTTTTATCCGTGTGGCATCAAGATTTTTCTGGAATGTTAGTAGTCATGAAAAAGACTGTCATTGTATGCTAAGTTCCTTTATCAGTTTTATAATTTTCACTGCTGCTATTTCTAATCTGGCAATCACTGTGAAAAGAATTAATTTCTAACTTTGTATGTTATACTTGATAGCCAATAGCGAGAAAAGGTACTGTAATTTGAGGAATCAAAAAAAAGTAACAGTATTTCGCATTATTGTATCATATAAAGAATACTCTGATAAATGCCTCCTCTCCAAAACGCACTCATGTTGTAGCCCAGGATAGGATTTACATATTTATTCCGAGGGAAAGGAAAGTCGATAAGACGTAATATTCATATGGCGAACCACGGCCAGTGACGGGATTTGTACTTCAGCACTGGTTCTAGAGTTCCTGAGTAGTTTTTCATACAAACTTTGAACTCTATTCCATCTTCAAAATCAACTATATAGACTGAACGAATACCAGAAAATGCTATCAAATATATCTTATCAAACTGTTAGAAAATAAGTCAACCACAGTTGCAACGGAGAGTGAAAAAAACCGTAATGTTAACTCGACCAGAGTTGGGAAAGGGAGAGACCATCAATGGAAAATCAAAGAGGAGACTTTGCGTTACCTAATACCGAGTGAGACTTGAGACTTCGGATTTGGGGACTTTTATGAAACACTGTTTTTTTCGAGATTTAATCTAGAATTAACTAGGAGTCATAGAGATTAAAAGAATATTCAAAAAAGTTTATACCTAATTATTATCTTTTTACAAAATCTTCAAAAAATATCTCTAACTAAGACAACTTTTATCAGCATTCAAAAGAAGTTTACAAACTCTTTCAGAAACATGACTGCACACATAGCATAGAAGCAATTACGAATGTTATTCAATCTTCTCATGGAAAGTATACACTATGGTTGTGGTGAGAAAGTATGGTTGTGGTGAGAAAGAAGTCGAACACGTCAGAAAAAAAAAAAGACTTCAAACACTGTGGACGGAGGGACATTTACAACAAATCTTTGGATGTTGGGATAGACATAATAACATACACTTTTGCTCCAAATTTATTCATAAAATCTAAACACAACCCAATTAAAAGCTTCATAAAATTTATTATTTCAATAGTAACATAAATGTTGCTCTTACATAAGCCTTTCAGAAGAAATAAAGATTCATACCATGAGATGTCATTTTGTATCTTTCATAACTTGTGAATTTCAATAATGAATATGTTAAGCGTGAAAATGAGATAGTGAATCAAGGTCCACAGTTCTATTCTTTGATTTATCAGGGTCAATGAAGAATGGCATTTCTTGGTGGCATTTCAAGAACTGTGCCTTGAGTACTTTTCAATTGCTGAATACTAACTTGCCTAGTCCTAATGGAAAAATATTCTTGTGATGCGTTGTTCGCATACACATCATTTAGAAACAAAATGAAACATTGGACTCTCCGAAGAGCTGCAAAAAAACAATAATTGATAGCGAGCGTATGAACAACCCTGAACTCAATCCAGCAAAAGCAAGTTATTGATAATTAAAACAACAAGAGACAGAAAAAAGTTTAGTCCAAGTCTTCAACAGTCATGGCTTGTTGAGAAGTTTTTGTACTTGTTGATGAAGAACTTCCTCCGTTTAATAAATTATCACCACCTTCCTTGTCTCCATCCATAAGACCTTGAAAAAGGTTACCTGAAAACAAAAAATTTATGTTGTTAAATCCCAGGTCTATCCCATCACCCACCGGTACGCAGTCTTCACAACTTCACCTGACCACCAAAAAGAAAGCAACCAACGCAGAAAGGCGCGAAAGCAATTTTTAATTTTGATGACATCATCATGCACAAATAAACAATCCCATTGAGCCCCCAAAATTTATAAAATAAATAAAAGTACTAGCCTCCTAGCCATAAATCCGATCTCAAACCATTGAAAATTTAAAAGCAATTGGTTTGGAAGTTGTGATTTTCACAACAAGAAAGTGATTTTCACAACAAGAAGAAAAGAACGAGTCAACGACATAACAAAACGATTCATAGGTACACTTCGTGGGTCCGATAAAAAATATTAAAATGGGTTGCAGTTACATGGGATGTGGAAGAGAAATTTTCCAGTAGTACTGAAATCGAATCTGAGTAATGATTCAGAATTTCTTACCCCCTGCAATAGCGAGTCTGAATTTCAACCAAAAACTAGAAATACCCAGAAAAGCCTTGGCAAAAATTAATTAAAGCTGAGAGTATAACTGAGACACGGTAATCATATAGCAAACCATCGCTTCTTGTGCAGCTATCTCTAGGGTTTGAGTAAAAAAAAATTTGTAGTTGATCATCCAGATGCATGGAAATAGGCAACTTCAATTAAGAAAATTCTGTTTACTTATAGAAGACCAAATGGCGCTCATATGCATATGCCTAAGGTTGAACATCTCTGCTCTAGATAGAACCAGTTCCAAAGTTTAAAAGAACTGTAAAGAAAACTCTACATACCCATCAAACCTTGGGGTCTTTTCTGCTTCTTAGGTAATTTGACTCCAAAGAAATTCTCCCCTATCCTTTCTAAATACTGAAACGTAAACAGAACAATAAAGAATATTAGAATGAGGCTACGAGCATTCATATTAAATTTGGACAAAATTAAAACAAACCTGAAAATAAGTGGGATCTCTGTTCAGTGATGTTTGATATTTGTCACAAAGAGTAGTGAATGTAACCAGCTTCTGACTGTAAAAATATACGGATAAAAATTCATAGAAACCCAATACAGAAAATTTTTCGTCTAATAAAGTCTAAAGGTATGAGTAATCTGTTCAACAGGTTATGATAGCGGTTGTCAACCTTTTTTGACACATTCCTCCCTTAGCCTATTTTTAAGCTCGTCATCAACCGTCCTACTAATAATAAAAACTTATCTTTGCATTTGTGATTCAATATTTAACTGAACATTTGCTTGTGATACTTGCAACTTGTACTCTGACTTCTGTACTTATTGAATAGTTGTATATGGAATGCAAAAATACTGATAGTAGGCTAACGCCTAACGGTTACTAAATTATTTAATTAGGCAATTATTTAATAATTAAATTATTCATTAATATCTGCTAACTCAAGCTACAGCTGCTGAAATATGAACCAATGTGAAACTACGAACAACAACTAACGACTTACGTTTCAACAGCTGAGAGAAGAAAAAATAAGAAATTAAGAAGAGGAATCGTGAATGGCCATTTCTTTCCACATCTCGGATGTTTCTCTGTGTATGTATTAAACGCATCACTAGCTGGTTGTTTCGCTTGAATGCACAATAACCTGTTTTAAATATAACTTTTAATAAAGAAGGAGAATAATCGTTTTCATTTTGAAATAAATTTAGCTTGAGCGAAAAATTAAAATTTGAGTAAAAAACAAGTAAAATACATTATATCTCACTGTAAAACAAATTGTGCTATGAAAAGATCATCTTCCTCTTTCTTCCCATGCTGGACTGAGAATTCAACTAACATTTCACCAGATCCTACTCCATCATTTGAATATAAGAAATGCTGTCTGGCTTCGCCATACAATTTTTCTATAAATAGAAATAAAAATAGATTTTCTTACTCAGTATTGAACGGAAGATTACTTACTAAAAACTAGAGTAAAGAAAAAGGTTGTAATAATACTATTTTATACACAAGTTTCCATAAAGAAATATATCATGCCTTCAGCTAGAAGTTAGGATTCACATATTTATCCTGGTGGAAAGGTAAGGAATTAGACGGCTTAATCATAGGGTGAACCATGGCTTCATGTCCAGTTACCAGTCCATTTCGGGTAAGGGGGTTAGGTATTCAGTTGTTTGTTTTCAGATGCATGGACTTGATGGTGGAGGAAGACGTAAACCGTAACCGAAGATTACTTGAACCACCTTTTCGCACATATTTATCCCCCACAAAATTCGAACGAGCAAACAAAAGTGGAGTAATCAGAGGTGGGGTATAACAGAAAGAATAGCATTATAAAGTATGGTTGCAAGTATTACTGATGCGGTATGAGCTATGTAATAAAAATGGCAGTTGACAAAATACTAGGAACATTTTTGGTCAATACTACATTAACAATATATGTAAAAAATACGAATTACCTTTCCATAGATTATGAGCAAACGCATGCCTTATTTTTGCATGGCCTGTTTTAGGAACACCATCAGTATGTGTTGACCATGTAATCGCTTTCACTTCAAAATTTGATAACTGTGGATGAGATACACCAATGTTCTTGTGAAGATTCCCGATTGTTACTGCAAAACGAGAAGTTTGTTAACTAATATAGCACATCACTTTCAGTAATAAATAAAAATACCTTTACAAATTGCATTTTCTTGTGTTCAAAGAATTATGATGACATATCTATAGTTCAAATCCCAAAACCCCCACTCCACCCAAGGTGTATATGTAAAAAATGCTGAATTGCAAAGATTTCAAAAAGATTCCGGTCCTTCTGAATTATATGATTGGTTGCTGGTAGAAGCAAAAGGCGTGAATGAGCGCCTGATTGAAATAAATCTCGGGTAATTTACAAATCCTCGAGTAAAATAAAACATGGAATCAAACTAGCTATAACCCACGACACAGCTCCAAGTAAAGATGCCTATACCCGAATAATTTTCTGTTCTGTCAAACTAAATAAACGATATGTGATAATAATTACCAATCAGCTCTTCAGTCACTGGAGCTTTAGCGGATTCCAACGAATCTAATAGAAGCAAGGATAAATCAACTCCACTGCCACTCTGTAAATTTAAAAAACAGTCATAAACGACAAACATTATTGAACCGCAACAAGAATGCTTCGTCACACTTTGACATACTTCTGATAGCCTGAATGGCATAAAAGTGATTTTGACAATGATAATAATGTTTTTCTTTACCTCATTCTTCGAGAAGAACAAAAAAGCCCCAGCTTGCATTAAATTCTGAACTTCTTTATGCCTGTTTTGCGCCATATATCTGAAAAATAGGTATGATAATTATACTTTCTAAGAATTACAATTTTTCGATATCAATATCGGGTCTGGTATAGTTTAATACCACATGCACTTCTAGTTGACCTGGCTCAACAATTTTTGCATATGCCAATCTAACCCCCACCTGACTACCTCACTGAAAAATTACGTCATTTTGACGTCACAGTGACGTAATAGATCCCTTCAAACTAGGTGAACTGTCATCCAAGACGCGCAGACGAGAACCCGAAATCGAACAGCCATTTGTCTCGTTTTCTCGTCGCAACGATCCCGATTGGAGAGAGATCGCTAATGTTAGTCAGTTCTTTATCGTCGGCGCCGATGCCATTTCGGGCGATCGTACGAATATTTGGCAAGCTCTATGACGTGATTGTGACGTCGTAGTAACCTCAATATCTTGATTTCGACACTTGTGATGTAATATAATGCATGAAATGTTTTATAACATGTAGCGAAAATAAAAGTAAAACAAATACTGAAAGATAGAGAAGAATAAAAACTGAAAAAACATTTGTCTAAATTCTGAGTTAGAATGTTAGACTGTTAGATGAATTCATATACCGGTACCGTTTTGTCTGCAGGGTCTGCCAAAAATAGTTAAAACCCTGTAACCTAATACTACGATATCTGAATATAGACTACAGATATAATAACTGAAAAACACTGCGTTTGAGAATTTAAAAATAAAACCGCAATCACCTGGAAAAAAGAGTTCTGTACATCTGATGAGCTTCATAGTAATTTCCATTTTGAATACTTGCTTCCAACTTTTTTTCGACGCGGCCCACTCCCCCTCGTCCCCCAGTATGGGATGCCATGACTTTTTGACGCTTATTAGTGGGCTCTTCAAAAACAGGTGTTGAGCGTTTGGCCGACGTGTTGATTTTGACTGTCTTTCTGATTTAGGCTATGAAAATAATCCAGAAACGTATTTATCGCCCAACGGCGGAAGGAAATCAATTGACAGGGCTGTTCATCAGTGCACACATACAATCAATAAATTCGGGAATGAAGAAACGAAGTCGCAATGAGGAACAAGTCGAAAAACAAATTCGGCAGCTCGTTTCTTTTCTGAAGTGCGTAGAGTCCCACAATAAACCGTGCGTGGTAATTGCAATAGCATGGTTGAAAATAACAATAAAAACGATTCATCCTAAATCAGTTTTCTCATTTAAATATTTTTTAAAAGTAAATTCTAAAATTTAGTTTATTTATATCGTAAAAATCATAGAATATCAATACAAAACATGTGGAGAATTTGTTCAATGTTGCAAACACAGACCACCACAATTGTTAAACCCCATGGCGCCAACTGGAGCATCTATATTAATGATATCAGAATTTTGAAGATTAATACTGGACTATATTTTTATTTCTTTTCTATTTTTAAATGAAAAGATTTTTATAATTGTTAGAAAAAGAAATAGTTATACATAAAATGCATGATTTGTTAGACATTGTGAGTCCGTCATTTTGAATGCAAGTAATTCATTTCAAAATTTATTCTGGCAACTAGTGTCACCAGACGACTTCGTCGCTTTTCCGCTCCTCCTGGTCTGAATATTCGCTTTGTCATTCACCCATAGTTTTTCTACTATTCTTCATAAAGCATTTGCACTTTATTATAAATATTAACGTCGCGATGCAACAACAAAAAGTAGTAGCTTCGAATGCAGAAGACTTCAGTGATGGAGAGGTAAGTTATAAGATAGGGGCAGAAGTGCCGGTAGGTTTGGTTCGAAATACAATATTTTCCGCATTTCATGTCATAGGAAATCTGTGCAGTTCAAAAGCAGTATCCCCATAAGTAAAATGAAATTGACGCTACGAGCGTAACTCAATCTAATACATAAATTCTTTTAAAGAATTTTATCCATCCATCACTGTGTCTTATTATTTACGACTTTTGTTAGTATCTTATGTTTGCCTTTTTTATTTTTCTGTATGATTTAATTTTAGACTCACTCCCTTGTATGTGACGCTGCTCGATAACCATCACTGGTTTATCGCGTCTCCCTTCACGCTGAAACGTATTTTTTTATATCCTTCGTATCTATGTTTGTCCATTGTGTACTTTTGGTATGTGATAAAATAAACTACTGACTGACTGACATCCTACCAAACCATCTGAAGTAAAGTAGTCTGGGTAAACTAAGCTAGACAAGTTTGGTTATACACATTTCCAAAAGTAATATTCATTCCATCTAATTCCAAATGTAAGATCAATTACCATCATAGCTTGTACGGCATCGCAATTTCCGATCAATTAACAAGTCCAATTTTAATTACAGGAAGCTACATTCCAAGATATTGATATGCTACAGGATCAAGGCATCGTAAGTTGATAAACATTTGAAACGGAATTTTAAAAAATGACAATCTTGTTTTTTAACTCTTTTTATATTTTTCAAGCCTGATAACGAAGATCTAACTTTTGCCATGTTCAGGACGTTTCAATTATTTTCAACATTTACCCCAATCGATTCAAATTAGTCGTTATTTACGCTGGAATTCAACACTCATTTATGTCTATTTGAGGCTATTACAGCTCCCGTTATTTTCGAAAATATCAGAGCTATATAATATGATTTCCGTATTTAGTCCGGGAAAACGAAACGGGAAAACACATTTTAATCTTGTCCGGTTATCTGTATATGTCGGGTATGGGAACAGGTATTCGTTTCAGATGCAGTATTTTTGCATGTTCCCTAATTCCCAGATTCAATGTAATGTCATTTGCATATTAAACACCATTAGTTTTTCCAAAATCATTTAATACTACATAATATATGGCAATTAAACGCTCAGTTTGATCTTCGTTTTATTGAACTTCAGAATGCGGCAGATTTGAAAAAGCTCAAAACAGCGGGAATATGCACAATAAAAGGCGTTCAAATGACTACGAAAAAGGCCCTTTCCAACATCAAAGGAATTTCCGAAGCAAAAGTTGAAAAAATCAAGGAGGCGGCTTCAAAGATGGCAATTGTAGATGAGAGGTTTTATTGTTATTTGTCCAGCTGGCGCGTATCACCAGGTCATGTTTGGCACACTGTTTACGCGCCATATTACGATAAAGTGCTTTGACACAGACGGCAGTGAATCGAAAAAATTTCTAATTTCATTGGTTACAATTTGCGTGAATATTCAAGTCTGTAGTTTGAATTTCTCGCAATTTTTTTTTCTTGTTTCATTACAATATTCAAATATCACATCGAAGCCGATAATATACATTCGAAATATAGATCAGGCGTAATCTGGTGATATCATCCCCGGCTGGTTTATATAATTTTGGTAGCGCAAAATATTTACGAAATTTAGGATTCTGGGTTTATGTCTGCTCTCAACTTCAGCATGAAGAGAAAGCAATGCTTCAAGATTTCAACTGGAAGCGAAGACTTAGAGTAAGTGTACTTATGTCTCAAAGTTATTTATTAACTATATGTTATGCAGGGGCGTAGCCATGGATTGGTTTTGCCTCCCTTTGAAATTAAAATAAAATAAAATCATCTTTCTGTATCATACAACGCTTAAACCCCTCAGGACTCACGAAAACACACGTTCTCCGGACTCGCTAGCTGTTTCGATCAAACTCAGAAAATGGTAATTTCAGAAGCCCCCCTTTGAAGATTTCCGGCTACGCCACTGTGTTGTATGTAGGCATTAGCCCATATGAAAGCAAGTTCAGATAATATTTATCCTCTGATCAGTATTACCGTGAAACAATAACACACCTTATTATAATTATTGGTAGTTGAAGGTTTGTGACAATCACCGAAATTTAGTCTAAAAAGTCTCGTCACCAGTACAACATACAATTATGCCTGAAGCCGGCGTTATCTATGTATTAATTTTTTTTTTTATTCAGCAAACTTCTAGGAGGAGGTGTAGAGAGTATGGCCATTACTGAAGTTTTTGGAGAATTTCGCACAGGAAAAACACAACTTTCACATACACTGTGTGGTATGTCCAGTCCGTTTTATATAAAATCTAATTTGCTTATTCACTTATTTTGTATATTGGATCAGTTCGCCTGCACTGGTCATTCGCATATTTATTTATTAGTGTTTAATGCCCGACTATTATTACATATTTCTTATTTTTAGTTACAACACAAATGCCAGGAGCGATGGGATACACAGGAGGAAAAGTTGTTTTCATCGACACGGAAAATACATTTCGTCCTGATAGACTTCGACCTATTGCTGATCGTTTTAACCTGGATCAAGCTGCTGTCTTGGACAACGTCTTGTATGCTAGGGCTTACACAAGTATGTATTTATTTTCATTACATTATGAATCTTTCGGCGAGTAGGACATGTCCGATATGATTTGATTCGCGTGTGAAACCAAGGTTTGTTCGGCAGTGATATTTGTTCCGATTTATCGCTCTTGTAAATTTATCATTCTTCTGAAAAATAACACTGGGGGCCTATTTTCGGGAGAGGTCTTATATTTTCATTTATCAAAAACAAAATTACAAAGTAGAGAATTACGAATTATGAAAACCGATATCCATTTACTTATAAATAACACGTTTTTATTTAAAATAACTGCAAAACATAGATTTCTTGCTATTGACTATAGGTAAAAAAAATCGCGATGTTGACTAGGTCTTATTCAAGGGGGAGGGCTTATATTGAAATCATTTTTTAAATTCAGGCTAGGTCTTATTTTCGGGGAAAAAACGGTAGCAGTATAGATTCATAAAATAATGTAAAAAATTTCCAACATACTTGCGTGCCAATGCCATGTTTAGGCTTGCACGTAATTGACAAAAATCAATTCCGTAATTACGGCCAAATCGATTACGTAATGACCCCGTAATTGCGATATTTTTTCACACATTTAAACCTATCATAACAACCAATTGAATCCACTTCATTTTCGATTGGAACATCGAGTTTGGGTTTTCATATTCCTGGCAGTACTACACGCCGGTGACAGATGTTAAGACAAGAGTGAATTCAAATTAATTTTATTCTGATTGTTATCTTTTGTGCTAGCTTTGATTTCCTTTATCACCTTCGCAAATTAACCGTCCCAATTTTATGCGATCAATTTTATCATTACCGACACTGGTATACGGATATTTATGAAACGATAGTTGACTTTTTTAAAATCGTATTCAAAAAAATGTCGGGTTTCCAATTTATCAATGCCATGACGAGCGTATTCTCTCGTTTGATTATAATTGCTCTTGCCTCGCGACGAAGACTTGTTATTGCACCGTTTTTAACATTATTCGACTTTACTACCTAGTCAGCATTTTATAATAATTACTGAGGCCGACTTATTGACGTTATTCCGATTACCATGCTTCATTTTACATTAAATCCTGTCGCGGCCTAAATGTTGTAACATTATTTGCAACAAATTTAGATCAAATATTAATTATTTGCGCATAATTTAAATACCGTACTTATATGATATGGCTTTTCCGAAAATACAAATTTCTATCGCAAAAAAATGCATATTGTGACATTTGTTTTGCACGCACGAAAAAATTAACTTATTTTTCTAACTCAAGTCGACGATCCTATCGGCCAAGATTGACACAAATTTGGTCGAGTGTCGGTGGTTTTCAAGAATCAAAATAAGTTGCCGCATTTGGTAAAGACAGTTAATCATATTTGGCCGAAATATTGCGAGGCATTGTGGAAAATATATTGAGCAAGGACAAGTCCGGACTGATATAAAACGATAAAACCGGTAACAGAACATCAAGGTTTTGTAATTGAAAATGGTTCTCGCACAGAATAAACACACTGGCTCATACTTGATATTTGATAGTAGTTAAATTGAGAATATTGAACTGTTAAAAACAAAAAAAAACGATCGTCGAAATTCTTAAATCTCGTTGCCTTGGTTAAATATAATCCAATGATCAGGACATTTTCAATTAAATACTGCATAAAGATAGTTATACATTAAACATTTAGGCTACAATTTAGCTTTTTTTTTTAATTTCAATCATTGTGGTGGAGAAATACCACTATTTAAATACGATAACTATAAAAATAGAATAGGATTCTGGATTCGATTTAGGTATTCTAAAACAGTGCTTCCCAACCGCCGGTCCGCGGACCGTCAACGGTCCGCAAAGGATTTTTACCGGATCGCGGGAAATTCCGTCATATTGTTGTTTCTCTGCCGTCTCAATCGCTTTACCGATGCCGAAAAGACGAAGTTGCGTTGGTTCATTACGCAATTTCTCTTCCGTCGTCATATTGCTGTTTGATAAGCGCGACATTAATTATCACGGTGACGTATTGGCAAGAGAGAGAAAAGTGAGAAAAACGGCTGCAAATACCGAAGCTATAACTTCTTCTACTTTTTAAACTTTCACTTTTTACAATCGACGGAATTGACTGCTTTGAAAAGAGCTCGTTTCAATCGCGAAAGTGCTCGACCAATAATTACGACTTTACGTAATTCGTAACTTCCCTTCCGCAACTCGAAATAATTCCGTAATTCCGTAAATCTGTAAATTACGTGCAAGCCTGCCCATGTTCCTGACATTTTCCTTTTAAAGTTTATATTTATAGATTTGATTGACTGGCTCTTCAATGACCACTTTTTCTTACAGGTGAGCATCAGATGGAACTCCTTGACCACGTTGCCGCAAAATTTCATGAAGAAGCTGGAATTTTCAAATTGCTGGTATAGATTTTTTTGAAAAAACGAAGAAATCCATGGACAGCAACCGAGAAATATATTACGTAAACTAGACACTAGCTTTTCCTATGTAAATTTCAATCTTTTTTATAGATCGTGGACTCCATCATGGCCCTATTTCGTGTCGATTTTAGTGGTAGAGGAGAGCTTGCAGATCGACAACAAAAGTTGGCTCAAATGTTATCGAGATTGCAAAAAATATCTGAAGGTAAGATGAAATCGGTGGTCTGCCCACCCTGATAACTTCGTCGCTTTCGTCGCTATTTTTACATCACCGAATGTGGTGTACTTAATTGTAAAATTTCTTGATCGTGGTTTTGATTGGTAGTACAATTCCAGAGTTTTGAGTGACGCAGCAGTGTATTTGTATTTGATAAATAGACAACGATGCCAGACCCCGTCTGTTATATCTTTGCTATTTAAAAATAAAACAGCCACAAAATACAGATGTTGCGTCTCTGTATATGCCTGGTATAGTTAGTCTTTTAATTCGATTTTTATGTGGCCTATGCACACTATTCTACCGAACTAATATTATTTTTAATTAGAGTGACATTGACACGTCTTCTTATTTTTTTTAGAATACAATGTTGCCGTGTTTGTTACAAATCAAATGACAGCTGATCCCGGTGCCGCAATGAGGTAACGATATTTACTGACGTAACGTTTGTTTGTAGTTTAATAAAAACAAGTTATCTCACCAATCGAATACTGCGAGAAATATAGGAGACCAATATTACATTACTTTCAAACAGGCAAAATTATCTCCGATGAATGTTTATAATTTCAAAGAAAATTTTTCGTGACATAATGGTCAAATATTTATATGTAATTCTGAAAACGTCATTATTACAGTGATAAAAGAATTGAAAAAGTAGGTAAAAAAGATCAGTTGCGCTTTCCGTAGTAATATTACTCTCCTCATTCTGCCGATTGTGGCATTTTTTTCACTAACGTTTAATTTTTGATACCTCATATTCATGGCTGGAGTCTGACAGACAGTATATAAATGGCTGATTTAACCGGTGATAACATTTAAAAAAAAGTTAAGCTTTTTCTCATTTATATGCAATTACTCAATACGAACATATCCATATTCAACGTATCTGAAAAGCGACCAAAAGTATTCTATATCGTCTGTTTTTTCAGTTTTCAGGCTGATCCTAAGAAACCAATAGGTGGTCACATCTTAGCTCATGCTTCAACTACAAGAATATCTCTGAGGAAAGGAAGAGGAGAGAATAGGATTGCTAAGATATTTGACAGGTTTGTTGAATAACTTTAAAAAGTATTTATAAGGTCGAAATAATTTATATGGTACATGTAATGTAAGTTAAAATTTAATGGCACTAAAAGTCGATAGAGATAGAGTATATCTATCACCGAAATCCTATTCATAATGCTTTATAGTTATGGCATACGTCCTGTGATTCATAAACTTTGTATGTCTTTGTCTATACGTAAATATACGTTTGCTTTATCCTTCGTAACAGGATCGCCATCGCACTACTGATTATCATACACAGTGCAGTGGGTTCAAATTCCAAGATGGTGATCTTATGCTATTTTTGAACTGATTGTACCTACCATGAGCTGTACTTGTTCTATTTCAGTCCTGATATGCCAGAATCAGAAGCTACATTCAGCATCACTAATGGAGGTATAACAGATGCAAAAGAATGAAGAGTTAAATACGTCCATAAATTCATTTGCAGAACGACGTTTGAACCAAATGCAATAGAAATGGGTGCCGGATTTGCTTTGGTTTTCGGTCAAATCATGAACTTTTGATCAGAAAAAGTGGGCTTAGTATATATATGTATCGTTTACCTGACATTGAGATTGTAATGTTTTTAATTTATTATTGTTCTAGTTGGATGTTTTTTAATAAAGTTGTCTGCGTTTTTATTTTATTTCAAAATAAGCGTTCAGTTGATTGAGTGAGAATCGGAATGGCTACATAGCACAAACTATTCACCAAATTCATTCATTGAAAATTACTTTTTCTGTCGTAGAGTGGCGACGCTCTAATCTAACACATACCAAATAGGACATGCTCAATTGAATCAAAAAATTATGTACGTTGTATTAGACAGCATTGTGCGCAAAAGTGTTTACTTACTTGCAATTATTGTGCGTTCTGTAAATATTACCAGATAGGTATTGGTAAGTCACAAGACGGTTCTACCTGTAGCAGACTTCATTAGGTAGATATATGTATGCTGCTAACTATGGATCTTCCCAGGGTAATAATTCTGGCCGTTTTGAGTTGTGTGTTGATACAAAATATAGTTGAAGCTCAGGTACCACCTGCTAAGATTGGACAGTATATTCATGTTCAACAGGTTAGTGTATAACTAAGATAATGTGTATATTTATGAGTTTATTGCCTAAAATGCAAAGTAGATGTGTTCCTGCAAACTATATTCTGCTAGAAAGTTAGTGATTCTTCAAGTAATAAAAAGGTCAAGACAAGAGGCATAAAGCCAGATCGCACTGGTAAGGATGTAATTAGAATACGAAATCAAAGATTTGGAGAATTATACTTAAATAATTGTAAGACAGCTAAAATGAAGCTCCGAACTAAAGAAATTACGGTGCTCCCGAAGTATGCGAACCAAGTGGCGGACATCGGAACGTAACATGGGTTAGGGTTAGGCGATAATTTTTTTCCAATTTCCCTTATTTTAGTCCTATTATCAGTTCGAAGACTAGCCAAGAGCCTCCCGTAGTATTTATACCTAAAATTATGGCCTAACCCTAACCTAGTAGTCTAGTACACATATTACATTCCGATGTCCGCCATCTTGGTTCTCATACTTCGGGAGCCCCGAAATTACATTATTTTCCAATGCATTAACTTACTATCGAGAAAATTGGCCGATAGTGACACTTCACCGGTATATTCTTATTTATTCAGATCACTGGCGCATTATTATCTTGAAAAACTTGAGTTGTCGATCATCAAATTCTTTGACACGCAACCGATATTGCCAAAAACGCGTGTGCATGGGCACCCGTCGAAGGCCAAGTTTTCTCTACATCGTTTAATTTGTAACAATCGTTCTAGGATTCAAACAGAATATACATCTACGGAGGAAACTTAACATTAATTGTTGACAGAAATTCGTGGAGATTGCGTATCCATGACAATTTTACGTCAAAAGTGTACTTACAAGAAGCGACGAAGGAGTCAATGCGGCTTGTAAGTAGATTGTAAGATTTTTAGTATATATAATATTTCATTTGAAGTTGGGAAATATTGATACTTAAAGACATGGTGTTTCTTCTCTTGAAATATTTCTTCAACAATCTACAGATGGACGGTAATTACTTAGCTCAGCTATAGACACAAACACTAAGTCAGGGCGTTCAAATTACAACACAACGTATATATATATTATAGTAAAAGTATATTTGAATGAATATTTGATTTGAAGAAGATGCATTTTTTGTGCACAAATTAATACTTACGCAGGCCCTGTTCCTAACTATGCAAAATCGTGGTAACGTTAACACATCTCTGCTCAGTATTTGGTGTTATTTTTCACTGCAGGGTTTCGGGAGATGGGAAGGAAAATACTTGGATATATATCAAGGATATTTATTTCGTATTGGACAAATAGTTGAGTGGAATTCTGCCACTGAAGCTGCTATTTATAACGTTACAAAGGATCAAAATGGTAAAGGCTAGGCTAAACAATGCGTACACAGCTCGGGGCTACGCATGGCCCTGCCAATGCTGAATAGGCTGTCTGAATAGGCCACACAGACGATTGGCACTATACCTCTGGATACAAAATTGATTAGTTCTAGCATGCGGTCTATCATCACGTAATTGTAAAGTTTTAGAAAGATTATAGAGAACGTCAAGTATGGATTGATTATCAAGTATGCAACGCAACTATCAGGGAATTCACGATCTCGGATAAAACGTCGTTATGTGCAGCCTATTTATTGGCCATAACTACTGTACTATTGCAGGGAATGGCGTAATTGCCACAACATTGAAAGTAGCATCAAATTCCTCTTCGCCTTCCGCTCCAAACATGTTGGTTAGTTTTACGGATTTTGATGAAAGAGTATTCACAATGAAAGTGGAATTAAGCTCTTCAACAGAGAAATAGTGAGTTTTAACGAATATACAAAAAATAAGCACATAAAATTGCTCAACTTTTGCTTGTCGATTGTATTTTCGTCAAGCGTTAGAAAATCGTAAAGTTCTGTCTGGCTCTGTCCAGTAAAGTGAAAAATGTTTTCATTGGCATTAATTATATTCTAGTAATCGTGTAGGTTGGGGATATATGACGCCGGATAAAAATGAGTCTTTTTATGGATTTGGAGAGAGATTCAATGGCGCGAATCAAAGAGGACATAAAGTTGGATCGTGGCTGGAAGAAGGAAACTGGGGACTAGGGAGATTTGACCCAACTGGGAAAATAAGGGTGAGTTGAAAAGAAAGTTTTTAAGTTTGAACTCTTAAAATCTGTTATTTCAAATACGGACTAATAATATTTGTAATTTGAAGGTACCGAAAGGAGAGCTTGCGACATACGTTCCAATGCCGTTGCTTATTTCATCTAAAGGCTATGGAATGCAGTTGAACATGTATCACAGGTAATCAAAATTGATTTCACGAAAATTCCTATGTGCTTACAATGTACAATATTATGTACTTTCAAAGTACAAATGTTCTTTTGTTGTGAAGTCATTGTAAAATACATTAATAAGATTGAATATTATTGGTTAGTTTACAAAACTTTTTATTTGAAGGCAGACGGGTTGACTTTAGAGCTACACAAATAAAAAAGCAAATACTGTGCAGATATTTGAAATTGATTGCATGGTATCTATATCGTTAATCTATAATTTTTTTATAAATCTGAATATTTTTATGTTTTAGAAGCGTATTCGACTCAAAAACATCAGATCAACACATGCATATCTTGGCAGAGACAGATTCCATGGACCTGACGATATTTTGCAAAAATTCAATTTCGGTGAGCTGTGATGCAAATCGGCACAATATACGTTTAAGCAATGTAGTTGTGACTGTCACATGAAAATGATGTACAAAAAACTATTTTTATATTTTATTTATATTTATTAGGATACTTTTCATAAAATGTCAGAAAAAAATGGAAAGTCCCTCATTCCACCATTATGGGCATTTGGACCGTGGAATCAAGTTGGTGATGAAGTAGCAGGAGTGTCAATAGTGAACAGAACAAAGTTAGTAACACTGTTGGTTAGGTCGAGTTAAGTAGACCTCCGTACACACAGCCTATTTATGCAGCGGTCTTGGGGTAGTGAGCCATGCCTTCCGTACCTTAAGCGGCAGTGCGATTGTGCCAATAAATTTTCACAATGCGACATCACATCTTCCTAATTGTTTTTTAAATTTTAATCAAGGTCTTCTCTCAAACTGCGATAGCAATTATACAACTGTTTCTGTGAGGCCTTTAATTCAATATTTCAGGGATTTGCTTTTCAAGGAAGACATACCATTTTCTCATTGTGTTAACACGGTGCATTATTTTCCTGAAGGAGGAGGAAGAGACAATGGGAAACAATTGAGAGTGAGATATTTTAGCTTGATCATTTAGTAATTAAGACATTGAAATAAGAATAACCTCAAACAAAAATATTCTTTTTTACAGCATTCACATATCTGTTAATATTGGTAATCGGTTGAGAAGATTTCTTTCACAACTGTCGTGTCAATTATTGCAAAAAATAAAAAGTTGCTCCTTTATTTATGTAGTTAGATGTATACGATCCAATTTGAGAACTGTTCAATTATTCATCCAATTACTTTGGAAAATTAATGTTCTTTATTTTGTCACTCGCAATACAATACAAAGCGGTACAAAATGGCGTAAGCAGATGGAAAGCTAATGTACAACCTTTTTTCAGATTCAAAATGAGGAATTGCTTTCTTTAGGTATAAAGGTATGCTGGCATTTACATTTATAGAAATATAGAATATAACGAAATACCGTGAATCGAAGTATAGATTTTTCATTCGCAATTTGAAAATTACAAATAAAATAAAATTAACACTATAGTTACATATTCTTATAACTATACCAAATTAGCTGTTGACAGAAAACGTTAGTAAATGGTTAGCAACGAGCTTGTTCATTGAGTGCTATGAAGAATTACGATACTCCATTACGAGTCTGTGCACAAGCGGCCACTACTGGATAAGGAGCTACTGCTTTTGGACTGACCGGAATCTTTCCGGTGCAGCATTGCCTACCAAATTTATTACACCGTGATGAGATGGTGGGCATATTGAACCAAAGGTTTAGGCCTGCAATACCATCATAGTCAAGTCTAACGCATTACCCATTAGACCATCGGTTCCCAAAAAGGGTGACATTGCCTTTATTCTTTTAGCGTACATGTTTTCAAACTATAAAAGCATAAAGCACACATTAACGATCACAAAATTCAGTTTTATTCAACCGCAGCAATTTTTTTCGTATACCTGCGCCGTTAGTTTTTTCCGTTATAAGGTGGCCCGCACGAACAAAAAGTTTGAGAACCGCTGCACTAGACCACTGTATCCACAATTCTCGACATTTTAGTACAGGCTTTTGCCGTTTTTGTATTTTATTTCGATTAATCATCTACCAATTCCTATTTGTCTAACCGTTGTGGTACTTTTTCAGTCAACAGCCTATTTTAATGCAATGGTTTCTCAAAAATGGACAAGTGCTTATGACTATGCAGCATCTTCAGGATATTTTTTCAAGACAAAAGAAGGACTGCCTTATAATTATTCATACCTTGCTACGTCGTAAGATGTTTTTATTCTGAATTACTATTATTATTCTGAACTTTCAACATTAATATTTGTCGTAGTACATAAGTTGTTTTATAAACAAAGTGATACTCCCGTAGTATGTGAACCAAGATGGCGGACACCGGAACGTGGTATGTGTACCAGGTTAGGGTTAGGCCATAATTTTATTCTAATTTCCCATATTTTAGTTCTATTTCCAGTTCGGGGACTAGCCAAGTGACTCCCGTAGTATTTGTACCTGAAATTATGGCCTAACCCTAACCTGATGCACATACTACGTTCCGATGTCCGTCATCTTGGTTCACATACTACGGGAGTACCAACAAAGTTTCATAAAAGAACAATATCACTCATTCGTTGACTGTTTACAAGCATTTTCAAATTGTTAGTTATTGTCACCTGTTTGACATTTACGTACAATTTTTGGAGAATGTTTATAAATCTCATGCTTTATTTGTGTTTTCGGCTTTTCCAACTTTCGTCCAAGTGGGTTTTGGAAGGGTTTATTATTCACATAAGAGACATGAAATTGCACATATTTGTTCGGGGACAAAAGCGATAAAAAGAAAAAAAAAACGTTTTAACTGTTTGATGAAGTTTATCTGCAAACACCAGTTGTTAGCCGTTTATTATATCATAATGTAAATTCTGATATTTAGAGATTTCCAAGTTTCACAAGTCGATTTTACAAACCCAAAAGCGGTAGATTGGTACCAACAACAGCTGGATGTTGTTATCGAAGCTGGATTTAAAGGTAATTAATAATTGTTATGAACTACTCATAAATTTATTAGCTTATAATACAAACAGCCTTATCGGGCACAATTCGTAATGTAGCATTATATCTTGTTACGAATTTTCATCAACTAAGATTATTTTTAAACAATTTTAGTCTAAATAGTATGGTTTTGTAATAAAAAGATAGAGAGTTATTAAATTATACTAGAATAGTGGCTCCCAATATCAAAATTCATAATGTAACATTATATTTTTGTTTGGACGTTGTTGCGAGTTCGAGTCGTGAACTTTTTACTGTTGTTGGACAAAAAGTAATTTTGTAATTTCAAAAGAGGGTAAATCAGAAAATATACCAGAATAGTGCTTACAAGTAGCAAATAAGCTGGCCGAGTTCAATTCGAAAGTACATGAGAAATTATATTTTATTTACATATTAAGGTGGTAGTAAAAGTATAACGAAAAAATCCGCAATAACTTGAAGTTTCGTTCATTTTCAAATTACTGGCCAGAGTAAAAAAACAATGGAATCAAAATACACACCTTTAAATTTCATGACATCTATGATTGAATCTAGGTTGGATGTACGACTTCGGTGAATATACTCCTCATGATTCAGTATCATACGATGGACATGATGGTTTATATATGCACAATCTATTTCCTCTCCAATATCAAAAAGCTTGTTTCGATCATCTCGTGGATGTATTTGGGACACCGTGAGTTATTTTCATGAAACATTTCAGTTTTTTGGATGTTTTATTTTATATAACACTTTCATTCATACTCATAGCATCGAAAATGGCCTAGGGATAAAATAGTTAGTCTTCGCTGTCCTAGCGTGGAAAATTACACATTTCGGGCACAGTTCACCTCACCCAGGGTATAACAAATTGGATATACAATGTCTAACTGGAAAATAGTAGCTCCTACACATTGTTAAATAGCAGTGCCTGGTGTACATGGCCTTGTTTGTGGCCAAAGGCGTGATTCAGAGTGGTATACAACTGCGGGAGTCGGCGCATAAAGTAACAAATGTTGCAGACCGAACCCTTATACTGAAGATTTATCAGTTTTAATAGTTGTATATAAAACGATACACATGATAACCTCCTTATAACATATCAGATAGAAAGCAGACTCCTATAAATCTCCCCTAAACTATATGCTATTCTATCTTTCCTCACCGACACTTTGACGTACTTTAGTATTACATGCATTTACATGATATTATTCAGGCATTCAGATTACGCTCCTGACTTTGTATTCTATGTTCGTTCTGGTTATCTTGGATCACAGCGCGTAACCTGGGCGCATTGGACCGGAGATCCTTCTGCCGATTGGAATAAAGCAAGTGGACTCCCAGCACAACTTGTTGCAATGTTGAATATAGGTGAGGGTGATTCTTTTTTCGACTCACTGAAATTATGGTTGCCAGAAGTCGATAGTAAGATGGCCATCAAGGACCACGATTACTTGCAAGGATTGGGATAAGAGATACTTGAACAAAAAATTGAAATCTATTTCATCAGATATATCACACTCTTTATCAAGGCATGCTTTTTTTAATGGATCGTCTTCGAAAATGACAGAAAATATTTAATTTGGCAAATAAGCAATGATAATGAATTTATTTGTCTTACGTCATAGGCATATCTGGCATGCCATATTCTGGTTCTGATATTGGCGGATTTGCATGGTACGTAGACCCACCTCCGACTATGGAACTCTGGGCAAGATGGACCCAACTTGGATGTTTTAGTGGTCTGATGCATGAACAAGGTATGTAAAGTAACGAACGCCCTGTTGTGCTACTATTTCAGCTGTTTATCCGACATTCTGGTATAGCCTCAAATATTTAGGACAAGCTTTTATGTAAAACTGATTGCGCGGACTTGTGTTAATGAATGAGAAAAATTTGTATAAGAAAATGAACAGAGCGTTCGTATTGAACTTGCGAAATGAGAAATGTTGATGAACATCACATACAGTCTTGTTGTGTCGCAAAAATATTTCTTGTTACCAAAAATTTGTTGTTTACCAGTACCCCGGAAGTAGCATGGAATTTAATAAAAAAAAAAAAAATTGGGTATTTTTTTCTACCAAGGGAGTGGAACCGGTCGTGGTCCAAAGACTCATATATTTGACACAGCTGAAGGAACAAGGATTTGGCGAAAATATGCAAAACTTCGCACTCAATTATCATTATACATTTACTACGCTGCTCATCAAGCGCGCGAAAGTGGAACACCAATAATGCGACATCATATACTAACGTATCCTAGGGATCCAAAAGCAATGGAGCAAGAGTATCAGGTAGGTGTTAAAATGCTTTTCATTCTTGAAGTGGGTTTTTCCCTATTTGGTGAATCCTCAATTAACAGCTAGTTAGTTCCATGCAAGACCGAGAGTGTCTGCCGTGGGAGTCTTTCGAGAAAAAAGACACTGACTCAAACTCTCAAAACCAGAAAAATTGTCTGTGACTGTGGTTTGCACTGCATTTTTTATTTAGCGTTTCCAACGTGATAGTAGTTCATATTATGGCCACAATTCCCCTAGTAATTTTCATAACTTGCATTGCGCTTTTGACAGATAGATTTCTTTTGCGTTCGATAGCTCTTTTTTGTTTGTTCTGAAAATACGATTTTTTTTCTTTTTTAGTACATGTTTGGTGAAGGAATATTAGTTGCACCAGTAATTGAAAAAGGTGTAACCAAGTTGTCGGTGTATCTCCCTGTAATTGAAGACCTTTCTAACAATTGGGTTGAGTTTTTTGCTAGTTCCAAATATATTGAAAAGGATGGTAGTTTTCGAATTGGATTCAAAGAATATTTAAAGGGTGGAACGTAAGTTGACAATATTGACAGTACGTAGGATTGCAAGTTTCAGATTCAACAATCTGACAATGGTCAGTATTGATAATTTTATGATCTTTTTCGATTCTATCTACATTCGGTTAGATTTGGATGAGTTGAACTGTAAGACAATAAATTAACTCAATTTTTGATAAACAGACATAGTTTAAAAAATGAGTGGTGGTGGGCTATATCAAGTTATACTGCATTTTTTGGGAATATCTAATACCAGTGAATTGAAGAATTTATCTATAAGTCAACTTATGTGATAAAAATTCTGAAGCCGTTGACTATTCATATACCCGACCCATGAAAGGCAATATGAGTTTTTTCATTTTTGATTGTAGCATCATAGCTTAAAAAAAGCTCAAAGCAACGCTCAAATATATGGACACGAAAGCCAAAACGACGAAGTATCAAATCTTTACAGTACCGTTAGTCTGGCCACCAGATTACTGAGATATGATCACATCACACACAAAACTTCGAAGTTAAAAACGAGCCTCACAGAGCTCACAACTATTTTTGAAAAATAATCAAAAATCTAGAGACAACAAAGCAATTGGTCTAGTAGCCGAAGAGAAAAGCTTGTTTTAATAACACCAAGAAGAAATGAAATGCTAAAAAAATAAAAAATAACAACAACATAATAACAAAGCGATCCATTGGTCCACTTGGTGTTCAATAATATTTAATTCTGAATTGTCAACTGTATATTTGTAATATATGAGTTAAACTTAAATATAATTATAAATAAATATCAGATAGGATATCAGACACGTATTACTTAGTCACTGCTCTATTTCGTGATTTGCTTTTACGACGTGACGTATTTTTATATTTTATGAAGTTCGTTCTGAACAAGTCTATGCACAAGCAGCCCTGATAGATAATTTTTTTTGGTTTTAGGACGGTTGAAGTGGATGCTCCTGTTGATAATATTCCGATATTTGTTAGGGCTGGTTATATTATTATAACGACAGATCCAAGAGTACAAACACTGAGTCCTGCTAAAAATTCCAGTGTGAAGACCTTTCAATCAATGAGTCACATAAGACACGTCTGGGTAATATATCTTATTTCGTTATACGATTATTGTGGCAGTAAGTTGGCTTAACTGTAATTTTACTGTCATTCAGCCTGGATATGAGGAAACTGGAACCGCATTCGAGTTGTATTTAAATTTTAGTGATTTTACTGAAAATGTTTGTAATAAGAGCGCATTCGGGGATAAAGTTTTATGATCTATTAATTTATTTTAACCTATCACGCTCTGAGTAAGGAGACACGGACACAGTTGTTAAAAACAACTTGACGGTCGTTAAAGCGTGAATAAAATGCCAGACTGCTATTGTCAAACAATGGATGCGGTGTCGGGAGTCAAAAATGTACAAATTACTACCGGACTCCGGGTTGACAAAAATATTGACTCTTGACTTCGACTAATGAATTCAGATTTTCGACAACTTTTGGCAAGACTTCTCTATTGGCTGTAAAAACCACAAGAAAAATTAATCCTGTTTGGGTTTTAGTAGGATAGTTTAAAAATACGACTCAATCTTTTATCACGAGTAGTCATTAGTGGGTAGTCGAAGTCAAGTCACTTATCATTTGGTTCGAGTGTTCTTTTTTCAGGCATGGCCAATGAGGGAAAATGATTTTATAGCGTCAGGACGTCTTCACGACGATTCTATGTATATGCTGTACTACGGAAAAATAGACAATTGCATTTGTGAATTTATTGCGTTCAATACACCAAAAAATATAACCCATGTTGTTCAAATTGCAGGACCTTGGATAGGTTAGTTACTTGAATTTATTTTGAATACTTTTTATGTCTGCGGGGCTTTTTGGATAAGTAAGTAGGCTACATGTTATTGTTCTTGTTAATGAGTTTCTTCTTGTTGTTCTTCTCCATTGTTATGAAAACATCGTTTTTCTCATTCAATTTATTGATTAGTCAATTTAAGTTAGTCGTGAAGACTGCCGTTCCGGTACCGGTAGTCTACTGTGACAGATTGCATACATGTACTACTCAGTGGCGTAGCAAGACTCTCGTGGGCCTCCCGCAAAAAGATTTAGTGGAAATGACCCTTAAAACTCTCGGACATAAGCTAAAACAACGCTTTTTTTATTTCGTCAAAAAGCATAAAATGTCGCTATTAAAAGGCAGTGGTAACCTAAAATTTGCCGTTTATCTTGATTACTTTTAATTTTATTCATACGTGCTTCCCCTTCAGCCATTTTTCTGCGTTTCTGTGCGCCACTGAGAGGTTTTGCTCTCGACATCATTCTGACAGCCTTCGTAATTTTGCCGGTGCGATCAAACCACAAGACGCCGAAAAGCGACGACGAAAGCGATGTGCATTACTGGTTTTGCAATGCAGCTTTTGGTTTTGCGGCTTAAATTTTTAAATTTTAACCGCTTGGGCCCCTTTGCGCTGTGGGCCCTCCCGCTACCGCGGGGGTTGCAGGGGTGGATGCTACGCCACTGGTACTACTTCGTTTTGGCTTTCATACTCATATATTTGAGCATAGCTCTCTTATTTACAATATCTTTATTTTAGTCAAGCCAAATGGCGTCCAAACAGAAGGAGGTGAAATAAAATTGCCTAAAGCTTCTAGCGTTCAAGATTTATTATCCAAAGTCGATAATTCAACGGTATCGGAATGGTTTTTTGACGATGAAATGAACACCATGTGGATTAAATTGACTCCACCATTATTTGATGTGTTTGTCATGGGATCTATGGATCGTGATATTGGGATGAATTAATGACTTTATCTAACCTAATCTCCCAATTTGCAGATTTTTTTAGTAAATTTCCTACTTTAAATGTATTCAGCTCTTCTGTAAAATGGTTGATTTGAGAAAGTAACTCGTAATTGTGCTATAAAATTTCCTGTTTTCATATATTAAAATGAGAAAAGTCTGTCAGCCTACTGGTCTCAGTATTTTCGCAATAGTAATGTTAAATAGTGTGAAAGATTTTCAAAGCATACTATTGTATTTCGCGCCAAACGAGCAATTAAAATATTTGAATACAGTATTGGATATTGTTCTGTGCATTATTTTATTTATTTTCTAAATTGATTTAGTCTATATTCGATAATTGGTCTGCTACTGTGTTATTATCATTTGCCAAATTTTAATCAATTTACGGAACGTCTATTATGTGGATAAATTTACATATTTATTGAATACGACTAGTATTGACTTATAAATAAGTATACAATAACAAATATATTAACTTTTTAATGATCTTAATTGACTCGCAATTTATAAATGACGCATTATAAGTCTGGAAAAGATATTACAAAATTTTGATCGTCTACTCGACAAAAGAAAGTAATTCCTGTCTGCAATACCAGAAAATTTGGGCGGACGAGCGCCTTTGTCGAAGATTTGACAATAGACGGCATCGCAAAACAATTTTCATGACTACTGGGTGAGACGAAGTAGGAGTGTGAGGAAAAGTATAGTATGGATGAATAATAAATTAGTGTAAGCGTAAAGTAAAGCAAAGAAAAAAGTGTGATTAGAACTCTGAGGGAATAATTTGAAATCTGTCAGAAAATTTATAGTTTGCACGACGTAACATACTATTTGTCCAATATAATGTGTATCACATAGATCTAGTGATTCATAATTTGCCTGTCAATTCTGTTTTGACTACCAAAATCATTTCTTGAAGCTTATCAGACCAGATAAAAACAAAGGTCTAAATTTGGTTTCGAGAATATCAAGTGTCGACTGTGAACTCATTATTGCGTTGATATACGGGTACTCCTATCATGTTGCCAAAACACAAATTAGGTTAGCTATTCTGGTCTATCGTAAGATAAACAGAATCAAAATAAACAGATCAGAAAATCAGTGGCGGAACAGGATGGTATCTAAACTACCTTTTTCTCGAATCGGGTCCATGTTCCTATGGGTCGCGATTTTCTTAAAAGTTACTAATTTTATTTTCTAGTACATTTTATTGTTTATTTGGTATTGAAGTGTTGCTAAAAAGTAATTGAATATGTGGGAAGTGTCAATGCGTAAAAAGTTGGCAACATTCATTTTGCTAAGTAAAGTTACGCCATCATTTCAAAAACACACTTTGAGGTTATTTCTGGGGGTAATAAACGTTATGTAAAAATATTGGTCATTAAGTTTGCGACCATAAAAGTACTACATGTCGTTTAGTATTTGGGCATGTCTCTGGGTCGCGGGATTCTACTAAATTTATCTTTAAATAGATTTGGGTTGTACAAAAAAAGGTTGCGAACCACTGAATTAGGTAATATCAGTTCTTCGGTATGCCAGTTTCCAATTGATCCCGCACCATGTACGTACTATGATAAACAAAGGAGGTTCTCTTCATACAATACACAATTTGTCAATATCAAAGACATCGCTTGTGATAACATTGTTATTACCATCCAACAAGTCTATAATACAATTTTCGAAGGAGGGCGCCTTCAGACATAAAAACCGATTTCCTGGAAATTTTGTCTGGATATCAATACAGGATGTGATTTCCAACGTTTGAAGTGTTTATTAATATCTTTCAAATTTCCTATGCTATTAACAAAATTTAAAATGTATACTGTAATTTCAATGCAATTCGCATCGGGAAGTATACAAAAATATCTCTCACAACACCGTTACTGTGTAGCCAGCAATGCAATCAATTTATAAGAAAGTGAGATTATTAGTCTGATTATTTTTTGTCCACGTAAGTACATTTAACTCGTTTTTCTAACAGTACTTCTACTTAATATAATTTTGTGTACCTTCAACTTGATATAGCTTTGATCAAGATAGGTCAAGTCAAGTCGGTACAAAATAGCAGGAATATACGCCTCATACGAACCTCACCTTTAAAATTGTAAATTACAATTTTTTGTAACAATCAATTCTATCATAGTATCTGACCCGGCAAAATCGCCTATTCTGTGCCGCGATATAGCAATCAAAGTCTCGTTCGAAGTTAGATTGATGACTACTGCTCCAAATTTGGATGTTGCAAAGAATTCTGCGGTGAAAACGAACTTGTTTTGAGGATTGTTTACTAGACTGCACCAACGCCAACCAACCAATTCGAAGGTATCGCATTCAAGACAAATAATAATATTTGGTTCCCACAATGATAATATCAGCTGATCTTTGTCACGTGTTCATTTATGAAGAAGACATTCAAGACAGGAAACAGGTGATGACATCATTATAACGTGTTATCAATTGCTTCATTGCTGTATGTTAGTGAGACATGAGATTGTTCGTCGTCACTTTTGTCGAAAGTGAGATTTATTCCATACCTATAGATTTAAAATATAAGTTGGTCGTCGGAATTTTCACGACACTTAGTGATTATAATTGTCGAAAGCTAGGTAGGTTAGGTAAGTTCATCGTCAATCTATAGACGTAGTCTTGTAGTATAAATTAGAGCCAAACAAGAATGCACGTTGTTGTGTGTTTTCAAACATTAGAGTTCAGGTCGTTTTGAGGTGACCTTTTCTACCGTAAATCCGCGAATATTTTTGATGTGGATCGACTACTTGAAGAAAAAATGTTTAACTGCGTCTTATCTATCAATTCAGTACGACGTAATAAGGTTCGTGATTCTGTAATTAGATTCAATTATTCGTCCTAGATTTTTATATGTGGTTGACAGCAGAAGTATAGGTTGTTTGGCACTTTAGATATTGGCAATGGTTAGGATTCATGACAGCGGGAATATGGTTATCATCTTTTCGATAGTGTTTTCGAGTCTGAGTTCGATTACAATCACCGTATTGGCAATCGTTTTGTTTCCGTTTCCAATTATTCGCTCATTGAAAGACAGCTATGACAAAACTGTGGCATCAGCGAATCGAAAATTGGCGTAGAACAACTAAAAATGTAGTAGTCTAACTTTCAGATGCCCAGTAGTCCAAACTCCCGACTGCAACATTTAACGTCGTATGATTAAAAATTTCCGTCTAAATCTCTAGATTCCGATGCCATTCAAAATTTCGAATTTTTCACACCCTAGATTTGATATCCACGCAATATAATCAAGTGCATAGGTAGCAGAATATAACCAAAAAGAAAACTGAATCAAATCTAAAAGGAAAACAGTCATTTTTTTACGATATTACTAAACGTGGTCAAAGTATAAAAAACACCATGGTATCTTAATTTATATATGTATCAGATTTGTTCTGAACCAGATCTGAACTATCAGCCTCACCTTAACTACGAACACAGAATCGATCAGAATATATTTGAATTAGTTGACGCATCTTCGACACGATTTTGAATTTTGTCGACTTTGTTGGACGCTGCGTGACACATGACGTCAACAGTTTTCTTACACTTACGTCATATTGTCTGTCAAAAATGTATTGACCACCGCTGTGTGGTGTCCAACTACTCCGCCTGGTTGGCGACTAGATTCACGAAAAACGGTAAATCAATTATGGATGGATGACATCAATAGGGTTGATATAACATATCGTTAAATATAATTTGTTGGGGAAATTTTCCTGTTTTTTAGTGATTTAAGTACGTACTATACAAACAATTACATAAAATAGTGCTCAGTTTCAGATTTCATGTCTTTTTACATCGATTTTTGAGTAAATAACCCATTTTCAATTCAGTTTCGCGCGTGTGTTTTAAATTTTACGAGTCGCCACAGAATTTAACACTATTCATTTATTTTCAGATTTTCTTCGATACTGTACTCTAATTTAAATTCGATGCAGATAACATATTATGGATTACATTAAGCCACATTGGGTGGTGCAAGATTTCAGCGGACCTGCTGACCAAAGCTGCCCATTTCTAACGATTAAAGATATCTAGGCGCCGATTACTTCCAATACCACTACAACATAGCTGCCGGAAATATTATTAATAAAGAGTGCAGACCTTTGGATGACCTGATAAGTAATACAGAAACAATGGAATACATGAATCATACAGATTGCGTTGATGGTAACGTTGCAAATCAATTGTGTTAGTGGAATCCAAGATGGAGATTAGATTGAGTGTTCAGACTTCAGAAAGTTAGTCATATTTTTTGCCATTGCAAATAAGAGATCTTAAGTTCAATTTTTGCTCAATATAGTACTCGTAATAGCAATGTTTGGCCGAGCATTGGCTTCCTTGTTTATCTTCGACACAATGACCAATCAGAAATAACATAACGATAACGCAACAAATGAAATTTTAGTAGTCGTTCAGACACTTTCTCCATTCTGATAAAATTTCAACTATGATTGTTTCGTTGTTTAACTACTATTTGCGAGTTTTCAGTTATGTGTTAGTAAATATGAAATAACTCAACGGTACTTTTATTGCAAAAAGGTTTCACTTTCTGTTAGTTTCGGTAACCAGAAACCACGGCCCGAAAAATCGGGGATAGACTACGCTAAAATTAGCTGTAGGTAGTATTTCACTGCAGTTGCTTGAATATTTTGAAACAAAATCGTGTATTTGAAAAGTCATACCAGTTTACAAGTCTAAGTCACTCAAGTACTGTCAAATAAGCATCAAAGATTTTGCAATGATATATTATAGATGGTGAATAAAGTTGGTTTTCAAAATCGAACTGCAGTTTCAAGTTTGAGTGGGTAGTTTAGTATCGACCATTGCGGGTCACTTAAAATAAGATTCATGTTTTGATGATGAGCCTTAGTGTTTGGTTGTTCGTTGACCTTGTTAGTAAATCATTGATATGGCTAATGACATCTCTAGTGTTAGAATCCTATCCCATGAAAATACGTTGGTATTCCTTAGTTTTGTCTTCACGAAGACCTATAAGTCGAGTGAAATTTCTGAATTTTTCTAACAGTACTAGATTTTATACAATCATCGATTTTAATGACGTATTTA